GCTGCTCATTCAGAATGAAGCAGCTTTATTATGGAGATGAAGCACCCACATGAAGGGGACAGCCTTATGTCTTGTCTTGCTGCACTTTACCTCCAGTATGGACCAGTTCCTTCCCAGGTGCTCTGTGGTGACAGGACTTTACACCTGATGTTTTTCAGCATTTAATACTGTAATGCCATCAGATAGTGTGGGACCAGGCTCCCCGTACAGACAGATGGGCAGACAAGGCTGTACAGATGGAGCCAGTGTGGGGCTAGAGCACAGCCAGGAAGATGGGATCAGGCAGGATGGCTCTGGGAGCACAAGGAGCCAGCACAGAGCAAGGCATGAGAGCTGCTGAGGCAACCTGGCAGCAATGTCTCCATCCCCACGGCCAGCACCTCCTCTACAAAGCAGCATCCAGTGTGTCCCAGGCCTTGGGGTCTCTGCTGTGGAGTGCAACAGCTGTCACTACCATGGACTCTCATGTCAGTGACTCCAGCCAGTGGGTCAGGGCTGCCGTACCCCAGCTTCCCTGGCCAGAGCCCTGATGGCTGCACAGCAGCTTCTCACAAAGCCAGAGTTTGTGGTTGTGGTAATTTTGAGCTGCTTTGACCTGTGAAAAAGAGACTTTTAGAAAAGCACTGCAGTTTATGCTCCTGGCAGCTGTGATGCTCCTGCTGTGGCTGGGAGGAATGTGTCCCACGGATGGGGAGCCTCCATTTGGAGCTGGGCTGATCCCCCCATAACATGCCAGCTTTTGCTCCACCTCCACCCTGGGTGCCACTGCCACCCCACAGTCTCTTTCCTCCCTGGTTTGAACCAGCCCCTTCCCAGCTGTTCTTAGAGCAGCTCAGCACCAGTCTCACGATGTCCATATTCTCAGTCTGTTAGGGTTTTCAGGGCATAGTTTTTTACTTAAAGCCATCCTTTGGGCAGGCCAAAGGATGGTGAAATACCCCCTTCCTGGCAGCCTCCACTGTGGCTATGAGGGGAGAGAGCTTGGGATGGTGGGCACAGGATCCACTTTGGTTTTCCCTTACCCTGCCAGGCTCCCGATCCAGCCCAGAGCAGGAGCTCTGGTATCCCTGTTATGGGGCAGGGCTGTGGGGAGTGAATCCAGGCTGGGGTCAGGACTCCATCCCCCCGTGTGTGTGCGTGCACACTGGGGAGCGCGTCCCTTGGGGTTTGCACAGCACATTAAAGCTATTCCCTTATCTAATCATGGCTCAGGTGAGTGCTATTAGGGTTATACATTAACCGTGGTAACGATACCCTCTCCCCACGCTGTCATTGGCCCTGCCTTGATCCCAAAGCCGAAGCCATTCCCACTGGCCCCATGGATGGCTGCATTTGCCTGTCCAAGCAGTTCCTTTGCCTGGTCCTTCGGGGACAAGCGGGAGGGGCTGTAAATGCATAGCAGGGTTGGAAGGGGCTAACAGCTGTGCTGGCACCCCCTCTGCACCACATCCACACTTCCTCCTGGGGCAGCAGCCATGGGACAGCCTGTTTCAGCTTTGCCAGGCTTGGCTGGAAATGCAGGAGCAGTTCCATTCCTGTTTGGCCATAGGCACGAGGGGTCCCCCATAAAGGAACCGGATTGGCTTGTCCCGAATTTCCTCTTTCTTTTCACAGAGCCATAAAAAGTCTCCAGGAGAGAGTTAAGTGTAACCCAGCATTCATATTCAAGGTAGTTGAATTATTCATTGTCAATAGTATTTCTTGCAAATCCTTTTCTTTTCCTTGTGAATCACCCACAGTACATCCCTGAATTCAGCAAACATCCGAAACCAGCAATTAGTGGAGGTGAATAACTTTCCATCTCTGGCTTGGTTGTCAGCCTCCTGTTTTGAGTCTTTCATACCTGATATTGAGCAGCAAGTGATGATATTGATACTGATATTGAGCCTGGTGCCCAGCTCACCCAGTGATGGCTATGCCAGCCCAGAGGCAAAGCCCAGCCTCCATCCAGGATGAAGGATGAAAAAGGAATAACAAAGAACTGGCTGTGATGGATCTATTTACAGCTGCAGCAGGAAATAATAATTCCTACTGAAATTCATGGCATATGTGATATTCACAAACTGCCTTATTTCTTGTCTTTATTTTTTTTACTCTATCTGTCAACTCCTTCACTTTCCAGGTGTTCCTTTTGTCCAAACACTGGTATTCAAATAAAAACATTGCAAGTAAGACTATTTTAAAGTTATTATCTCTTTAGAGATAATAACTCTTTTTCTTTCAAATGAAAAAAATAAAAAGAGAGAAATCTATGAGAAACAAAAAATCTTGCAGGATCCCCTGAGCCTGGAGCAGCCAGAGGGAGCCCAATTTCTCATGGAGCTGCTAAACCTCGCATAAATCTCTACTGGAGCATCTGGTTTATTCTGTAGCTTCTTGGGAATTGCTGTGTTTGCAGATTCAGCACAGTCCCTCCTGGGCTGGGGTGCAGAAGTTCTTTTGGTGCCGGTGAACCCTTCCCCTGCAGGGCGGCGAGAGGCAGCAGTGACCCCAGAGACAGACAGGGGCCCTGAGGAAGGGTGAGGGCAGGGTGCAGATCCTGAGTGGGCTGGGTGTCCCCAGCATCACTCCATCCCAGCAGAGTCCCCCGTGGGGAGTTTTGTTTGGAGCTGTCACAGCTGATGTGTGCCAGATAGGAGACAAGTGCCAGGCAAAGCTGCCCTACACCCCTTGCACACAGAATCTCTGCATTTCAGCCCTGTCTCTGCAGATATTCCACAAACAGCTTGCTCAATCAAACTAACCTTTTTTACCCTTTTTTCATCCTGTGTGGTATGCTCAGGTTTGACCTGATGATGGTGAGGATGGATTAGGTGTTTGCTTCTGACCAGCCCTGGGACAAGCTGGGCTCCCCACTCTGAAACATTCACTGAATTCACCACATCCCTCAAATATGAGTTAGTGGCTGAAGTCCTGCCCTGGTGCTGGAGCTCTGGTTCTATTCCTGGTCATATTGCAGCCTTGCTGAGCTCCTTCCCTCTTCCATGGATCACTGGAGAGCTTCAGTGCTACTTGGGCACTGTGCTGAGACCCTCAGCCATCAGTCTGCTCACACTGTGCTGAGCCTGTGCCAGCAGCAATGGCAGGAGGACACAGACAGTGGCATAGTCATGGAAACTGAGTGCTAACTTGAGTGACTACTGCTTGTGTGCCTGGGAGTGCCAGCATCAAGTCCCAGCAGGGTGAGATGCCTTCCATGCCCATCCCAGGTCTTGCTTGCTCCCACTCCTGCTCCCACACTTGGTTTGCTCAGTGGTCAATGCCATGAGCTGGATCCTTGTGGCTCCTGCTTATTCAGGAGAAAACCAGCTGCTTTCTTCCATCCCATGTGATGCTGCAAAGGAACCCCTCTCCCACCTGCACTACTCTGTGGCCATGTTTTGTCCTATCTTGAACTCTTTTGCATTTAAGTTTCAGCATAAGAGGTGGCTTAGGAATGTCTCCATCTCCTTGCAATGGGAAAGCAAAAATAAAACTGAGCTGGTTGACAAACTGATTTACAGCCTGGAAGTTGGGGTTTTGCTCTGTGGATGTTCTCTGATGTCTTATTAGAGTGTCTAGAGCCCAGTTTTCCTCTGCACCACCTAAACTCACTCAGATGGTGTCAGAATTTAATTGTATTGCTGAGACTGCCCAGTGTCCAACTGATTTGGTCCAAATAGCTGGATGTGCAAAGGACTCGTTAGGGAGAACTGATGAACAGGATAGCAGGCGAACAAAGATCCCCTTTCCTGGCAGAACCAGGCTGCAAGCACGGTTATGTAGGTTGCTGGGTCACTAGAAATCCCTTTCTGCACATCTGCAGCAGTGGTGTGCAGTATCTTGTCCATACTGATATACCCAGGGCAGCCCCAGGGAAATCCATGGAGCTGTTCTGAGCTTGCTCCCACTCCTCCCCATAGCAGCACTGCTCTCAGCATCAGAAATTCAGGAGAAGATAGGGAAACACGTCTGCCATACAAACAAATGGCCAGGCATCATCCCTCTCGACTCCCTGGAACGGGATTTTGTAATTTCGGGTGGAGAAGCAAATGTTCACAGCTGTGTTTATTCCCTGCCTATGGGCTCTTCTGCAGAGGAAAACACCAGGAACTTGTCAGCAAACTGCCAGGCATGGGCATCCTCCCTCTGAGTGCCACCTGCCCCCCCACAGCCCAGGCAGATTTCCACAGCTCACCCTGTGTCTGTGGAATAACAAGGGAACTTAGGAAGAGACAACATTTGACTGTATTTTTCTGCAAGAAAGCAGCAGGAGCTGTTTGCAGACCCATGGGATGTGCATCTGTGTGCACAGACATGATGGGGCCTGATGGCCTCAAGCTCACTCCATATCTGGGAGGACCAAGGAGAGATTCAGGCTGGCTTTGGCCAAACACCCCTGGCCCATGGAAGTGCTTAGGCATCATGTGAGCTTTCTCCAGTGCATCTTTAAAGACTGCACCTAAAGCACTGCCCTCTGTCTTAGCTCTGTACAGGGAGAAGGAGAGTGACCCTCTAGGTGGCAGAGAAATGTGGCCATTACAGGATTTTCTGTCCTTCCCCTCTTCTAATCCATGCACATTCAAGTGATGGCACCTTGGTCTGGGGCTTCCTAGAAAAAGAGCTGGGCTTTCCTTAGCCCTGCCAGGCAGCCTCTCCTCAGCCCATCACAAGACTTGCAGCTCTGTTCTTCTAAGGGACCCTGCGTTATACTGGGGATTTATGGTCCATCTTCCTGGGGCACCTCTGAATCCCTCCTGCTCTTTCCACCAAGCAATTCCACCAAAGCCTAGGTGCTTCCCAACAAGAAGAAACACTCTTGTGCAGAACAGGAAGGATGTTAATGCCAGTAGGAGCCTCCTCATTCTCTTTCCCACTGGTCCCCAGGGCATTGCCATGTTTCTCCTGAGCTCTCCACAGGTGGTTGTGTGTCTCCTCTGTGCCCTTGGGGATGCTCCTTCCATCCCACTGCTCCCCTCCTTCCCCTCTAGGCTCACCCCCCACTCTGCTCTCTCTGCCAGGCAAGACCAGGACAAAAGACAAGTACCGGGTGGTATACACGGACCACCAGCGCCTGGAGCTGGAGAAGGAGTTCCACTACAGCCGCTACATCACCATCCGCCGCAAGGCTGAGCTGGCTGCAGCCCTGGGGCTCACTGAACGGCAGGTCAGTGCTGCAGTGTCCCGGGAAAACCCTGTCCTGCGTGGAGATGGGGATGGGGAAGGGCCAGGGTGCAGTTAGAGAGGCCCCACCTTGCTCCACAGAAATCCCTTCCTTTCCAAACTTTGGGATGCCCTCCCTGCCCCGTGGGGACTGGGGGTTGCCGTCCTTGCCAGCATCCATCCTCATCTCTTCATTGCCGTCTTTTCCTTTCTGCAGGTGAAAATCTGGTTTCAGAATCGGAGGGCAAAGGAGAGGAAGGTGAACAAGAAGAAGCTGCAGCAGCAGAGCCAGCCCACCAGCACCACCACGCCGACCCCACCAGCTGTCAGCACCCTGGGACCCATCGGAGGCCTCTGCAGCAGCAACGCCCCCAACCTCGTCTCCTCATCTCCACTGACGATCAAGGAAGAATTCATGCCTTAACCCTCTTCACCAGCTACAGACCCCAAGAGAAAAGCACTATGCAGCAGAGCCCTGCCAGCCCATGTGCTCTGAAGGGTGACAGCCCCTTCCCAAAGACATGACTGTCCCTGGCTGAACCAATAGGGCAGACAGCGAGGCTGGGCCAGGTGCCACTGGGGCCTTCCCAAGGGACTGGTGGTCTCTCCCCTGTGTAAAAAACATGGGTTAGGTACTGCTCTCCCATAGGAACCACACACTGGTTTGGTCTCTGGTCTTTGTAGCCCACAGCAAGGTCCTGATGTCAGCAGAAGGAAGGGGGTGACAGTGGAGGAGGGCTTTCCTATGGTGCTCCAGGTGCTTCCTTTGGTGTTCCTGGCAATCCAGCTGCCTGGTGCTTTTGGCAGTTCGAACAAGACTGAAATAGAAAAAAGACCTGGCTGGACTCAAGGCAAAATTAATTTCTGCTGAGCTGGTCTCCCAGGAAGGGAGGAGGGCAGAGGAAGTTGGACTCTGGGAACCAGGCAAGACCCTCTGCTGAAGGACGTGACATGGGAGCCCTTCAAACCACGGTGATCGTGGCGAGCTGGAGCACATCCTTTACAAGAGTACCTGAACATCCCCACCCTTGCCCCCAGTGACCCTGGCAGTGCCCAAACCTGCATCCCCAGCCCTGCCCCAGCAGCCACACAGAGGAGGCATCTCTGGCAGTCCTGGTTCCCCTGGCTGTGCCATGGCAAGGTGGCACTGCAGCCATCCTCCACCTGGAGCACGGGGAGAGGGTAGAAAGGAGCCTGACTGGCACATTTGGGGCAGATCACCCTGCTGAGCCCTTCCATGGGGAAGGGAAGGAGAATGGAAGGTTTGCCGTCAGAACAGGGTCCAAGAACCAGCCCCAGGCTGTCCAGAAGGGCAATACTGGGAGAGCTTTGGGTGATGGTCCAAGGGAGCACAGTAACTCAAAGCACCAGGAGCTGCTGCCAGGTGGGCAGGAGCCTCCTCAGGCATGCAAGAAATGACTTGCATGCGCCCTGGTGTTAGGTGATGGAGAGGTGGTTTTCAGAAAGACAGAGAAGCATTTCTTTTCCTATTTTCTTTAAAACTACAGATTGCAGGACTATAGATTTTGTCCTCCCCGTCTCCCTGCTCCTCCATGCACTGCACTCCCTCTCACCCACTGTGTTCCCTAGGCCAGTTAGCTAAACCCCATCCATTACTACTGGTGAACTGCAGCTGAGAAGTCCCTTTATCCTGCTGAGTCTTGACCACTGTATAGACCCAGGTTAATGTACAGCCCAGTTTCAGCAACCCCAAAGGCCAGTGGGGCACAGCTGGGGCACAGCTGGGACACAGGAGGGTCTGTGACTCCTCAGGGCTGCACCACGGCTCCTCAGCTGCAGTTCTGAATGCCAAGACAGGGATGAGGGAGCATGAGCCTTGCCTGGTGGCTTGTGTGACGTTTCTCAGCATTTTCTCTCCAAGCTCTGGGAAGATGGAGCAGCAGACGTGTCCCTGCTCCCCGAAGACCACCCAATCAAACCCTCATATCCCACCTGACACTGCTTTTACTTTTTGTCTTAGAGTAACTTTATAATACTCCTATCCCCAATCTGTTCTGTTAGTGTTGAATATTAAGTTCTGCAGTTCTATATTTTCCCCATCTGGGGGAGGAACTGGTTAAATCTATTTCCTAAAAAAACTCCGTTCAAAATTTTCCACCCAAATTTACCCTAAACCAAAACAGCATCCCTTGGCCACACTGTCCACTGCCAGCCCGCACCACTCCCAGCCCCTAGAACACAAAGTCCCCAGGTGTGCTGTGGCTTTTACAGGTGGGTCCCTGTTATCCCACTGTGTCCACCGCTCTCTCCAGCCCTCAAAGGCTTTGGGTCTCCCTCCTGCCAGTGACACTTCCCATGGCCACTGTTACCAGGTGCGCTCGGTGATGAGGAGAAATGTTTGCATCAACTCAGGACTTCAGCTCAGTTTTTGTGTATATAAGGCAGAACTGGTTTTCCTTTTTATTTTTTAGGCATCAATGAAAATAAAAACAAGCAGGGATCCTGTGTGACACAGGTTTGTTGCTGTCATTCCTGGCCCGTGGTGCTGTGGCAGGGGAGGATGTGGTGTCAATGCTCCTGGGCACAGCCAGGGTTGGGAAGGGTGTCTTGAGGCAGCAGCCTTGTCCCTGTAGCACATGGTGTGCCTGTCCCACAGGGGCACTGCTGGCAGCGGCATGGCTCGTATCATGGCATGGCACTGCCACATCTCATTCCTTTGGCACCAAGAGGGATGGCAGTGCTGGGTGACATGATGTCTGCAAACTCCCAGCACCGGAGACAGAGGGGAGAGGGTGAGGCCATTGTTGGGCTGGCAGAGGCCAAAGAACAAGGCCAGCTGCCCACGGATGTGGCCGCCTCCCATTGGTGCCTCCTGGTCTCTAATCTCATTTTATGGCTGTTGATGGGCTGAATATCCTCCTTGTCCAAGATGAATAAACAGAGAATGAGGATGTGAGATAGTGCCTGGGACAGCTGGCATCGGTGTCTCACACTCTCCCCTCTCCATCCCATCAGTGCTCCCCTCGTCCAACAGGACACTGAGCAAGGGGCTGCCCTTGAATCCTTGCCCCAAATGGTTCCTCCAAACCCAAAACTCTTCCCAATGCCAAGCGTTGCATGGGGTGTGTTGAGCTGCCAGGGCAGGGCAGCAGCTGGCTGTGGAGGGACACCTGAAACAGGATAAAGTCCTCCTGGGTGGAGGAGACAGAGAAGTGGGAACAGGATGAGGTGGCATTGCTGAGAGAGGGACAGAGCAAAGTGTTCTTGTAATTGCAACAGAGGCTGCACCTACTGCTGCACCTACTGCTGCACCCTGGTAACCCTGCTTTCACCAGCATGGTGCCAGGCTGCCCATGGCACAGGAGAACCACCTCATGCACTCCTGCAAGGAAACGCGGGGAATCGGGAACTAAAACAGGCAGGGAGATGCAAACGTGATGGAAAGGGAGTGAGACTGAATCAGTCTAAATCCACCTGCCTGAAGAGCTGCACTGGAACTGGGGAAAATGGAGCTGCTTCTGTGTGCAGACTCCAGCATGGTCCCCATGGTGGGGACTGCTCCCCCACACTCATCCTCCCTCACTGGGCTTTGCCTCCCTTGAATGTCCAATTTTGCCATTGCTATGTGGAGACCAGCAGCGAGATCCTGCTCCTGCAGGGGATGGGGTGATGGCAGCCCAGCACTGGGCATCACTGTGGTCTGCAAGTGGGGAGCCCACAAACAACAGTAGGGAGGGGAACAGAGTCCTGGTGGGGGTGAAATGTGCTTCTCCCAAATTCACCTGCAGTGTTGGATGGCCTGCAGGGACACAAGGGGCTGAGACAGAGGGAAGATGCTCCACTGCCCGCCCAGAGAGGCTGCGGGTGCTGTTGACAGGATGAAATTCCAACTGATACCCTAATCTGGCGCCTGCCTGTTTGCACAGCAGGGTAAAAGTCCAGGGAGCCGTGGGCTGTGCCCTTGGGTCCCTGCCACCCGTGTGTGCACAGGGAGCCGGTGCTGGCGGGAAGAGGCAATAAATGCACCCACACACCCAGCCACCCCTTCCCCCTACACACACACACGCCCCTTGACCGGGTGACGAAATGCATCTGCTCTGTTCCCCCTCCCATGTCCTCCCCTGCGCCCTGCATCTGCCGTTTGGGCAGGGACGGGTGAACCCTGCAGGGCCCTCCCTGTGCCAGGAAAGGGGCTGGTGGATGCCATGTCCCCACCAGCTTTGGAACCTTTGGTTCAAACCTCCTGGCCACGTGTCACCTTGACGGTTTCACCCCTGGCAGGTGACGAACACCTGGTTTTAGCACCTGCAGCAGCTGCCTCCCGAGTCACATGTCCCACATGGAACCTGGCCCATGTGGGGACAGCCTGCCCTCATAGCCAGGGGACCCTGGGGGCTGTCCTCTACAAGATCCCACAGTTCCTCCCTGCTCCTCCCGCTGCACTTTCCATCAGTTCCCGCTGCTCAGCTTTACCCCTCCTTGAAGAAATCTTGAAACCATCATCAAAATAAGGCCACGCACAGCAGGTGGGTGAGCACACCCAGCATGTCCTGCCAGCAGCCTCCAGCATGGCACACTTCCCAGCAGTGACTAACCAGAGCACCGCTGCCGTGTCGCCTTCCTCGTGTCTGCAGCGCAGATCTGGGCACGGTCCCATCCTGCTGCCAGCCACCTTCTCACCTCTTCCCAGGCGGCTGCCACCCGGATGTGTGTGGGCTGCCCAGGCAGGGTGGGCAAGGGTGTTTCCCTAGCCTGTGTTCTGCCCTCTCCTTGCCCTCCAGTGTCAGAAAGAGCAGGCAGTGCCAGTGTCTGCCAGTGCTGCACTGGGCTGGAGATGTGTGTTGTGCTTTGGCCTGTGAGAAGGGAAAGGCTTACTTGGTGTCCCATGGGATGGCTGAGAGGTGGAGTTGGAGAAAACAAAACTTGCTAGAAAATGCTTGCAAATGCTTGTGTGTGCTACCTAGTGCCAGCTCCTTGGGGATCAGGGCACAGGGACAGTTGTGCACATCCCTGTCTTCTCCTGGTGTTTTTGAGGTCCCTAGATTGCCCTGCTCTTTCTAGCTATTACTGCCTCTGGTGTGTGCTGTTCCATGGAGTGCATTTCTTGCCAGCTCCAGGACAGTGCAAGACTTGGTCCAGCCCTGCAGTGCTAAGCTGAATCATCCCAGGTGCCTGGGGTGGGACATCTACTCCCTGGTGATCCCAGGCAATGAAGAGCTGCTGGTGCTACCAGAGCAGCACCAGACAAACCAGAAAAGTGAGTTCCAGGTACAGAGCATCCCAGAGGAAGTGGTGTCAACATGGACATTTCAGGGCACTCTAATGAAAAATACTGCCCTGGACACAAGAAGATGAGGCCATAAAGGCTGCCCAGGAGTGCTGAATGGTTTGTGTAGTGATCAGTCCATGCTGGTGACATGGGGCTGGGACAGTTGTAATGAGGTGGCACCAGGCTCTCCCCTCCCATGACATGGAGGGGGACATGGGACATCTCTCTTCAGATGGATCCCAAGGGAAAAAGTCTAAAAAGGCTGATTCAGTTTGCACTGGCATGAAAGGCAAACAAACCGTCCCTGCCCTGCATGAAGGCTGAGGGAGGAACAGTGCTTGATGCAGCCCCTGGCCATCAGCCTGGCCAGCTCCAGGGTCATCGTTCCCAGCCAGCATCTGGGAGAGGAAGAAGTGGTGGGCAAATCCAAGGCAGGTAAAACCAGCCTGAGTGAATTCCCAAAGATACTTTGAGGAAGCTGTGAGTATGTGAAAAGAGATGTTTGTTGGGTTATGCAGTTTTGCTCTTTCCTCCTTTACCTGGGAAATCCAGGTAAATATTAGCTGTGAATGACCCATTGTGCAAATGCTGAGCCACTTCATCGTGTTGGACTCCTACAGAAATGTGACTTTATGCTGAGGATACATTTCCTTTGAGTGAAAATTTTCAGAAGTGCTTAGAGGGCTGTAGGAGCACAACTGCTATTAGATGTCCTGGAGATTTGCTTTTACCTCAGGCAGGCTGGGTTCTCTTTTTTCCAGCCCTGTCGTTGTCCTCCTCATCCCCAGTGCTTCCCACTCACCTTGAACCTCAGCAAAGCATCTGAGCAGAGGTCTGGCTCTGGTTGGAGCCTGTAGGGCACTTGCAAAGATAAGGGACACATTCAGTGTCAGAACACTGGGCACAATGCAGGGATGAAGTGATGGACAAGTGGATATTATCATGGGAAAGAGGTACCACTGTGAGTCTGGAGCTGTCCTGGTCCCACACTGGCCCTGGAGCATGTGGGGTTGTCCTTTCTCCCATTTGCACCATGAGAGTGGGAGGAGAAGGCTCTGCCACCTCGTTGGGAATTTGACTTTAGTATGAGGGTGAAAAGCTGGCATCTCCCTGGATTTGGGGCTCCAGTATCCCACTGCTGACTCAAACAGAGAACCTGGACCCTGGAGATGTGACCTGTGCTCCAGCATTGGGACCATCATATGCTGGACTCAGATGCTCACCCTGGGGACTGCCCAAGGATTGCTCTTGCCCTCAGTGTGGTGGGATGTGTTGGTCCTGCCCTAAGGGGCTGATGGCTGTGGAGCATTCCCCTCCCCTGGACTGAGGGCTGGGCTCAGGCAGTATGGGGAACAGTCACCTCTGATCTGCTCAAGCTCCAGCTGTGTCCTGCCACAGGAAAATCATCTCAGAGCCTAATAGGAAGGTGCTGTGAGCTTCTGGCATCTGCTGCCTCACTACATGGGGTGCTCATTGACAGAGTGACCCCAAAGTCAGGTCCTTCTCCAGGGACACCTGATGCGTTTGTGGTATGAGTGAGGCAGCAGCCGTTCCCCCTCGCTGCCCGGGTGGGGAGCTGAGGTCCTGGAGCCCCCCTTTCCCCATCAGGAGTGCTTTTGACAGACAGACCTCCCTCCTCTCTTCCTGCTCCGCACGCAGCCATCCTCCACTCAAGGCAAACCTTTCTTTCAGCCTCGCTCCTCGCGTCCCCAGCTCCCCCGGCAGCAGGTGGGTGCCCACGCCTCCGTGCCGGCCATCGTCTCCCCGCTCCCCCTTCGCCCTCCCCAGCGCCGGAGAGAGCGAGAGGAAAAGTGTCGGAGCGGGGAGCGCATAGCAACAGGGTCTGGGATGAAGCAGGTTCGGCAGCAGCATCTCCGGAAGGTGAGAGCCGGCAGCGGGGATGCCCCAGGGACAGGAGCAGGGGAACCAGGGGTACCTCTGGCAGGTGACAGCCAGGAGCGAGGGTAGCTCAGAGCTGGGAGAGGTAGCAAGGATATCCCGGGCTGGGAGCGGGGGAGTCATGCCCATCGCCCTGCATCCCGTCCTCGGGAGCCTTGGTGGGCAGCCGGCAGGGATTAGAGGGATATTAGGGAATAGTGTCCTTGCGCGGGGCCAAAGCGAGGTCGTGGGCAGCGGGATGGGGCATTTCGTGTCTCCCCAGCCCGCCCCTACCCGCAGATGCTGCCGGCGGTGGGTGACTCATGTTGTGTCTGGCCGGGCGCCGTGGGTGGCACCGGGGACAGAGCTGGGTCCCCGCAGCCTGGCAGCTCGGGGACACTGCTCCGGAGACTGCCCGGGCTCAGGGTCCCTCCCGGGGATGAGCACAGTGGGCTGGCAGAGCCTCTCCCACCTGCAGCTCGGATTGCCTCCTCTTCCTCCTCCGCAGGATTTAAAGGGGTGTGGGTGATGGGGGGTCTGCTGGATGCTGAACTCTGGGTTCAGGGCAGAGCTGGCAGAGTTACAAATCCTTTTTACATCCTGCCGAAAACCCTTTTTAAACCCAATTGTCAGGCTTTCCCATCCTAGGCGCCCCTCCATTGCCAATTTGCTCTTTCCAGTCTGAGTTCCCATTTCCCCCCACATTGAGGACTGAGTCCTTTCCCTGGGGACACGGTGGAGCAGAGTGGCAGATTGGGGACTGAGTCCTTTCCCTGGGGACACGGTGGAGCAGAGTGGCAGATTGGGGACTGGGTCCTTTCTCTGGGGACACGGTGGAGCAGAGTGACAGAGATGGTGGCAGCCACAATTCCATGATGGGGATGTGCTGCTGCTGAATGGGTCAGCCCTTCCTGGAGCATCCCAGGCAGTGACCAGAACCTTTTCAGTTACACCCTGTGCCAAACCATACCCATTGAACACAGGGCAGGTTGACTCTGTTGAGATGAATGAAAACCCAGGAGAGTTTCATCCCTGCCAGGAAATTCCTAGGATATTGGGAAATGACGTAAAAAACCCAGCAGTATCCTGGTGACAGCCAGCAGGCCCTGACAGCCTATTTCTCTACTCTTGTTTGGAGGCATTGTTTGGCTCTTCTCTTTCTTCCTCTTTCCTACAAATTGCTTTTCCAGATGGCTTTGTGACTGGAAGATCCATTAAAAGTGGTCTTTGCCCCTTCCAATGCCTTTCTGAGTTACTTGATGCTGGTGACCCTTTTAAGCATTTATTCAGGAATGCATTTAGTCCCATGGTGATCAGTTGGGATGGAAAGCAAATGTCTCTGGCATTATATTCCCCATTCCCAGTGCTGCTCAGAGCCCTCTGTCCTTCATTACCCAAAAATACTATAGCTGAGCTCCAGATGGAGGATCTGGTGCTCATAGCCACCTTGGGACCACTGTGCCAGTGCTGGCATTGGGCTTGCCTGCAGCTGGTGAAGAGATGTGAAGAGATGTGCCCATCCCCACTGCAGCACCCACTCAGGACCCTGACAGCCTCTTCTTCCTCTCATTGTGATCCACTTCCCATTGGTGAGCTGGAGTTTTAAACCTTCTTACCAGACATATTTTAGACATATGGAAATACCTTTTGATTAGAGAAGACATTTTTCAGACTGTAAGGATTTCAGATTGGGTTTTGGGTAATAGTACTTTCAGACGAGCTGAGTGGTTGTTTTCATTTATTTGATTATTTTCTTTGGGGTTTATTGGGTAGAAATGGACTAAATCCCACTGGAGCCAGTGGTGGGAGTCATGGTTCCTGCTTTCCCTTCCCATACCTGGCCAGGCTGCTGAGCAGCATCTTCCTACCTGAGCCACTGCACTCCTCTGCCTGCCACAAACTGTCTTGAAACTTCCCCAGGGTTTTCAGATAAAAAAACACAAGCATTTGCATCCGTGGATACTCCCTACACTTTGGACATTGCTGTAATGAGTTTGCCTCAGCCATCTCCCACCTCCCTGTGCTGGCTCCACCATCGCTTGCTCCCTCTCATGGCATCAGCTGTGACCCCAGGCTGGGGTCACCCAGGGTCAGCTCAGCCCTTTGAGGGGCTCTTCCTCACCATAGCAGTGCTTTGTTTACTTTGCTTTCTAAGTGATATTACATGTGAATTAATTTTTATGCCTTTTTAAGATTTTTTCTCTCAGAGATTAACAAGCAATTCAAACTAATCTGAAGTGACTCACACTGTAGAGACTCACTGTGCTCAGATCCGCAGGGGAGAAATCTGGTGCCGGGTGGCATTTCTCTTGCTTAAAGGCTGTGATCCACGCACAAAACACTGACAAAATAACCCCATAATGCAGCTTGAATGGAGACAAAATAGGATGAAAACATACCTTTGATCTGGCTGGAGTTTTTCCAGTCAGATACAGCTGAGTTTTGGTTTTAGTAAATTGGTTTAGAGAAAATAATTACCACAGAGCCATTTCCTTACAGACCTGAGCTCTTATCTTGGCAGAGACTAAAGTGCTTTTTCTTCTCGGTGACCTTTGCTTTGCTGACTTCTTTGGGAGCATCTTTTGGTGAATAATGGAAAGTGATGCTGTGTTCAAAGAGGCCGTGGTTGCCAAGGGAGCTGTTAGTCCCCATCTGTTTATAACTGCGAGACAGGAGCCCGGCTTGAAGGATGGCAGCTGATGGTGGAAAGGACTAGAGCAATACTGTAGCACTGGAGCACCTCAGCTGCTGCTGAAAAAGAGAATTTCTGTGATGACAGAGGCTGAAAAAGAGCATTAATCCTAAAAAAAGCTCTAGAGTCAAGCTGGTGTGTGAGATCTCCAGCAGTCAGAAGAAGGGAGGTGTGCTTCCCTCTGTGATTTGGGACAAAGATAGGCTGGAAGCCTTAAATATTGTGCTTTGTAATTCATTTCAAGTCAGGCAAATAGGCCAGTTTTTCTGTGATTTCTATGGAAAGGCTGGGATTTGGGAGAATTTTGAGCATTGCAGTCAGGGAGCCGCCTTTGTGTGTGTTTTAAAGCAGCATCCCTGACCTGTATCTCCTCAGCTTGCCCAATAGGGACAACTGTCATTGTCCTTCAGGTTTATCTGACACTTGAGTGGTCTCTGCTTTCTGCTCTGGGGTCCTAAATTTGACCTGTAGAACTCCAGATAAAGATATTAACAAGAGAGGCAGTCATTATTGAGACACAAGTGACAAACTACATCCCATGGCCCTTGAAATGGTGACTGAGGTGGGGAGCAGGCTATTTACATTTTGAAAAAGGTCCCATTGGTTCCTTTCATTTCCTGTTGTTGCTTCTGTGTTGATTTCTGTGCAACATCTCATGGACAGGCACCTGCATGTAATGAGATCTTGCAGCTCTACCTGTGCCTCCTGCAGGTGTTTAGGATTCAGACACGGATGCAGGAATTAGACAACAGGATTTAATGATCTCCCAGCATCCCTGCTTGCTGGTTTTCTGCGATTCAAATCTGGAAAACAAGAGCACCCCAGCCAGTGTGGTGGACTGGGAAGTATAATTTTGCAGTGGGAAAACCCAACTGTAATGGCCCCTACCTGACAGGGATCTTTGTGAATACAGGTTTTAGCTGCTGAAATCTTTGGGAAGGAGTTCAGAGCAGCCTATCCATCCCCTGCAAGCACAGACAGCTGTGGGTCACACACTGTGTGTGCTGGGCTAATTAGCAGGCATGGCCATGGCTCGGAGGTGTTGCTAAACCACAGAGCTGTGTCGAACAGTTGCAGGAGGGCTGTCAGGTGGTGATGGTTTTATAGAACAGTATTACATTTTGGTCATATTTTGACTTTTCAGCCTGTGTTTTTGCAACTTTTTCTTCTGGCCCTTGCGTTGTGATGGTGGCATCCAGCAGGGATGGGCTTTTCACAGAGGATTTTGGTGTAACAGCTTTGCTGGAGCTGTACCTTTCAGGTTGGCTCTGGGAAGAATTTGCCCTTGTCCTGTCTCTCGAGGTGTTTGTGCCCCAGATGGGGATGGGGAGGAGTTTGCCTCTGTCTTTGGTGCCTTTGGGCTGCAAGCAGCTTGTCTACAGTGCCAGCAGCTGGGGGTTTGGGGTACACCCTATGCAGGGTGGGAGCTGGCAGCCCTCTCCTTCAGCATCGTGGCTCTGTGTCTCCATGGGAACCAGCACCAGGAGCATCCTCCAGTCCAGTCCAGCTGGAGAGGAGGAGGGGGAGGAGAGGAGAGGAGGTGGCTGCCACCTTCCCTGAGGCCATGACCAGGCAGTACTGAGCTCTGATCACCAGCCAGCTCTGGCCTCCTGGGGACTGGGGTCTGCTGCAGGCTCTGAGCACCAGTGCACACTGGTACAAGAGACCCACAGCTCCTTCTGGCTGATCCCTCCAAACCCACGTCCCTCTTCCTCAACCACATGCCATGGGTTTGTTCCCTACGATTATGAGCAAGGACAGGGAGATGGCTGCTTTTTTTCTTCAGAGAGCCCAAGAAGAGAGTTCCCAAATGGGCTCCTCCTGCCTGCTCCTGGTACCTTGTCAGCAGGGACACCAGAATCCTCCCGTGCTTCAATGTGTGCATGATAAACTCCCATGCCAGGACACAGCAACATATGGTGGCACAGGATCCTCATTCCACCCCTTTGTGCTGCCTGGTTTTGCTGTGGGTGTATTTGTGATGGGATCTCATCTGGCAGCTGCTGGCTCAAGCTTTCAGCTCTGGAGTCACTGGGGATGCTTTCCCTGCTCTCATGAGGTCAGGAAATGGGGGAAATTCAGACTGAGCCCTTCACTGCAAACCTGATGTACACCCAGACAAACACGGAGGTGCCCTCCTGGTGCATTACCCCAACCCAAGTGGATTGCAGGACTTGCACTTCCACTTGCAGAGCGGAGTCAGTGGAGAGGAAGGGAATGGGTTAATGCCCTGCCTGTGCTGCATTGATTCAGAGCACATTAGGAATTCTGGAAGGAGATCTCTCAGCAGGGGACAACTGGGAGTATCACAAAATTCCCACAGTGCAGGCTCTTGGCAGTTGGGAAAGTGTGAAAAATGCACGGAGCAATTAATGGCAGCCAGCTGAGTGCCTGGCATGGCAGCACACGTGGGGTCTGGGTGTCACGCTCCCTGGCATGCCACAGTGGTTCTCTTGCTGTCCTCATGCCCATATTCTGCAGGAGATCCAGAAAGTTTATTGTGGCCCTCTGAAAGGATGTTTTGGAAGCTGGGGTTGTGAGTTGGGTCCTGGTGAAGCTTCCCAGAATGAACTGGGACAATCCTACTTTTCCTAGGGGAGCTCTGGCCCTGTGGGCTTACATTTATCCCTTTTGATTGCTTGGTAGCAGAGCAGGGCATTGGCTGAGGTGGGGAGCAGAGAGCTGCTGGGACAGGGTGTTCCCAGGGGACAAGTGTCAATGCTGTGGCTTGGGGTCACAAATTCATTCACGAGTTCTTGGCACTTCTTCCCTCTCTCCCATTCTTCATTCTCTGTTTTTATTCCTTGCTGAACTCCTGTCTGCACTCTCCCATATCCCAGTCCCTCACTCAGCCAGTGACACCAGATCTCCTGGTAAGCCCCAGCAGCCACGATGGGGACCTGGGCTCCGAGTGCCCAGAAGACAGAGGGAACTGGACAGGGCGCCTGGATTTCCTCCTCTCCTGCATCGGATACTGCGTGGGCCTTGGAAACGTCTGGAGGTTTCCCTACAGGGCTTACACCAATGGAGGAGGTACTTGGGCATCCTTTGCAGTGGTCAGCCTCCCACTCACTGATCTGGGCTGGTAGAATATCCCTGAACAAACACCCCTTCCTGGGGCTGGAAAGTAGCACATGTTGTGTGTACTAACATGAACAGCCTCTTCCTGCCCTCCCCATGCTCGTTTGGGGCTTTAACCACCTGTATCCATGTGTGGAAGGGAATTGCAAGCCCATCTCTGTGTTCCTGGCCTTGGACAAACCCCTGTCTCCATGCTGAACCAAACACCAGCTCTCCTGGTGTGCAGTAGCTTCTCGGTCTGGTGTCCTCCAGGACTCAGAAGTGTCAGCAAACACTTCCCAGCTATCAAAGGAGGGAGTAAACCTTTTGCAATGCAAGAGCCACAGGTGACAGTGCAAAATGTTGGTTCAATTCCTCCCAGAGCAATAATAATAACTAGAGAATGTAATGGTGTTTGTGATAGAGTCAAAGAGAAAAGAGAACTGGGACCAGAGGGGAAGCACAGCACCAGATGAATCACAGCCCCTTTCTCCTGCCCTAACAGTGAGCTCTTGCTCCTCCTCCCTGTCTTCCTGATTTTGATGTAGATCCCTCAGAGCCATACATATTGAATGAGCATTATTCCCTGTCACAGTTGGGTTTTGGTTATTTGTTCTGTATTACTTTCAGGATTTTTTTTTTTTTCAGGAGCTTTCTTGGTTCCCTACTTCATCATGCTGGCCATCTGTGGGATCCCCATCTTCTTCATGGAGCTGTCACTTGGCCAGTTCTCCAGCCTAGGGCCACTTGCAGTCTGGAAGATAAGCCCTCTCTTTAAAGGTGCGTGAGTGAAGTCCAGAGCCTCTGAGAGATCTCTGCAAGAGCTCTTTGATGACGAAATGCACCAGCAGCAGCATCCCATGATCCTCAAAGCTCTTGTTAGAATCAAAAGAATCTGGGGCTGGGATTTTGAGACAGCTGTTTTAGTAGCTGCAGGATATGCATGGGATTGTTCAGTCTTTGAGGGCTCTGGATGGCATGACCAGCTCAAGAAATGGCATGACGATTATAAAGCCATCTGTTGTACAAAATAGAGCATGAAGGCTAAGCAATGCCTGTTAAAAACAAAGGCAAGAATAAAGCATTAAAAAAAAGAAGTTCAAATCAAATACTTTTATTCTCAACATTAAGCTGGTGTAAAGTTTTTTGTATGAGGCAATAGATCATTAATTCAAAGAAGGCATGTCCAGATGTTATAATGGCAATAAGAGGCTCCCCCAGCAGGTGAACCTTGGACTTGGTTGATCATTTGGCTGCTGAGGTGCAGTGTCTGATCCTGCTTTTGGATGTGCTTTGCTCTGCTCCAGCTCACTCCTTCTTTACCCTCTCCTTCCTTCAGGCGTTGGCATGGGCACGATCCTCATCGTCTCCTTGGTGGCCATTTACTACAATATGATCATTGCTTACGTTCTCTTCTACCTCTTTGCATCCCTCACAAGCGACTTGCCCTGGCAGCACTGTGGCAACTGGTGGAACACCGAGCTGTGCCTGGACCATCACGTCATCAAGGCAGGGAACAACTCCCTCCCCGTCAATATCAGCAACACCGTCAGCCCCAGCGAGGAGTACTGGAGGTAACGAGGTCAGCCCGACCCGCGTGTGGGGTGTGGTTGGTGTCTCGTCAGGGAGAGGATGGGGATGGGATGAGGGATGAAGGATCTGCACATCTCACAGCACAGATGCTGCAGGTCTGACTCTTGGCGGGTGGTGTGGGTGGAGCGATGGGCTCGTGTGCTCAGCTGTGGGTGACAACTCAGTTTAGCCCCTGGGATGTGGGAGGTGTCCATGTTCTAGTGCTGCTTTGTTGGCCTGGAGATATGCTAGACTAAAAAGCATCCCACGTCTGGAATGGCTGGGAATTTGCTCTCAAGATGCCGGGCATCCCTTCTGGGCTCTAATACATGGTGGAGAAATCACTCCAACTGTTCCTGTTTACTTGGCAAGGAGCTGGCAGTGCCTATGATTGTTGACAAGGCTATTTGGCAGCAGAGGCATTTCTAGGGTCAGAGGGCCTCTGGAAGAAGGCAGCCCATGGCTGCTCACTAGCAGCTCTCCTTCCTCCCTAGCCGGTATGTCCTGCACATCCAAGGAAGCTCGGGGATTGGGGATCCTGGGAGGATCCGCTGGAACTTGTGTCTGTGTCTGCTCCTTTCTTGGACTATTGTTTATCTCTGCATCCTTAAGGGAGTCAAATCCTCTGGCAAGGTAAGGGCTGGCTGGGCTCCTCTGGGGGTCCTGCAGCAATGCTCACCAGTGTGTGCAACTGCACCTCTGGGAAAGTGAGACCCACAACTAGCATCCCCTGGGTATAAGATATTTCGGGGATGCCTTGCATATGCAGACACAGAAGGGCTGACACACTGGCCTTGCTGAAGCCCAAGGACCCCAGGGTGGTGTGTCCCACCCTAGGGACGGGGCATGGGGGCAGCACTCACGCCCATTCCCAGCTCTCCCAGCTGGCTCTGCTCTCCCACAGGTCGTGTACTTCACTGCCACCTTCCCTTACCTCATCCTGGTAATGCTGCTCATTCGTGGTGTGACCCTGGAGGGGGCCTGGAAAGGGATCCAGTTTTACCTCACACCCCAGTTTGATCACTTGCTGTCTTCCAAGGTGAGTAGGATGTTGTGCAATTTGTCCAAGACACAAAAATGACCCTTCTCCTGCTACCTCCTGAATACAACAGAGGCAGTTCCCTTTACTCAGGTGTCTTTTCTGGCCACATCCTAACTTAAAGCTTGGTTGCTCCAAGACCAAAAGTCTTTGTCCCACACCTTGCCTGGGCCACTATTGCCATGTGTCCCCACCTCATGCATGGCTCTGCATGGATGGGATGGTACCAAGACTTCCCTGGGTATCAGGACCATAGGCGGGATCATCCTAGCCCCTGTGATGGGCTGATGGGTGCCCTTGGTGGATTTGACTGTTTGTTGTTCTCAAGAAATGCCAGCATGTGGAGTGGAGATCAGCAGTGGTGGCCATCAAGAGACCACCCAGTTTTACAAGGGCATTTAATGCCACTCTGGGATGGCCCTAAAACATTCTTATTAGCCCTTCCATTAGCCAGCTGATCCACTATGAGTGGTGAGTATTAACAAGGAAAGACAAATATCCCAAAGGCTGTGCATGCTTGGAGTGCTGGGAAAGATGTGCCAGGGCTCTGGGGAAGCAGATTTCTAATGCCATCTTCCTTATGTGGAGGTTTCCAAACTCCTGCTCTCCTCAGAACTGCTTCCTTCCCCCAGGTGTGGATCGAGGCAGCCCTACAGATTTTCTACTCCCTTGGGGTAGGCTTTGGGGGCCTCCTCACCTTCGCCTCGTACAACACCTTCCATCAGAATATCTACAGGTGGGAGTCAGCTGCTGTCTTGTAAAAATTATGGGTTGGGGGGAGCCGTGAAAGCCTGAGCTGGTGTGTTCAAAGCCAGCAGAGGCACGTGGTGCAGCACAGACACCTTGCTCTGCTCCTTGCACTAAGGGGATACCTGGCAGTTTGTACAGGCCTGAGAGGAACAGAGGAATCTGTGGGAAAAAAATTCTCCTAAGCACCAAGGCAGAGCACCCAGCTCAGAAGTTTTGGGCTGTAGGTGCTGAAAGCTGAGGATAAGCAATGCCACCATGCACTGGTGTGGGGCAGGAAGGAGTGAACATGTTCAGAGAATCTTCTTCCTTTTCTGTAGGGACACCTTCATAGTGACCCTGGGCAATGCCATCACCAGCATCCTGGCAGGGTTTGCCATCTTCTCTGTTTTGGGATACATGTCCCAGGAACTTGGGGTCCCTGTTAACCAGGTAGCAAAAGCAGGTGAGGCCAAAGATGTTTTCCCCTTCCCGCTCTGCCTGGGTGTGCTGAGGAGCATTCCTTCCAGGACAGAACACACCTGAGGGTGTCAGCATGAGGGGTGAAGGTGGATGCTCAGCTGGCCAGGGGGAGGGAAGGGGGCAGACAAGTTCTTGTGGTATAAATATTGAGTAACAAATGATGTCTAATGAAGGTCTGAGCAAGGAGCAGACTGTTTCTCCACCCTCTGATATAAGACCCTTCCTGCCCGTCTTGCCAGAGCCCTGGCAAGTCTCTGTCACAGTGCTGCTCTGCTGAGCTCTCCTCTCCTCCATCCCCCCATGCCCAGCTCTGTCACTACCTTTTCACCCTGCTGTCCTTTGCCTCCCCTAGGTCCTGGTCTGGCATTTGTGGTGTACCCCCAGGCCATGACAATGCTCCCCCTTTCTCCATTCTGGTCATTCCTGTTCTTCTTCATGCTGTTAACCTTGGGCCTGGACAGCCAGGTAAGGACAGAGCCCACGGAGACAGCCGTGGACTCCAGGCAGCCTGAGGACTCAGGGACTCCCTCCTCCTGTGCCTGCAGTTTGCATTTATGGAGACCATTGTTACGGCAGTGACAGATGAATTCCCCTACTACCTGCGGCCAAAGAAAGCTTCGTTCTCAGCTGTCATCTGCATCGCCCTCTTCCTAATGGGGCTCATCCTCACAACAGAGGTATGGGTGTGAGGACGGATCCATTGTGGGGACCAACTAGGAACTCATTTTAGGGAGAACTTAGGGCAGCAGCCAAGTTTTCAGATGCATGATCAGATAACCAGGTGAAAGAGAGACGAGCCTGGGCTTCTGGAAGGAGTGAGGGCCAAGGGGAGTGACACAGTGTTATTCCCATCCCTACACCAGCTCCATAAGGAGACTGATGTCTCTTGAGGCTGCTGACTGCTGTCCTCCCCAAGGTCCCCAACAGCCAGAGGACGTGGGTGAATGTTTACTGGGATGATGGTCCTGGAGATGCTGGGCTCTGTGCTTTGTCTCCACAGGGTGGGATGTATTGGCTGGTCCTACTGGATGACTACAGTGCTGGCTTTGGGCTCATGGTGGTGGTGATCACTACCTGCCTTGTGGTGACACGTGTCTATGGTAAGGATGCCATCCCCACAGGGGCACAGGGAAGCATGTGCTGTCTGCATGAAAAGAGGGATTTAGAGGGAGCAGTAGGGAAACCAAAAGCCTCACAGTGGAGTATGAGACTCCATTCCCACCACTTGTTTCTTCTTGGCTATCACTTGATTCACCTCTCCAAAGATACATGTGGTGCTGAGCCTGGTCCTTCAGGCAGCACCAGCTGGGCCCCATGCCTGCATCTCCCAAATGGGAGGGGGAAGATTGCTGCAGAGGAAACAAACCACTGCTTGTGATCAGTGCAGGGCAGCCTGTTACAGGCACAAGGCTCTGGGGGAGAGATCAAAGCTTCTGAGTCCCTCTCCTTCCTGCAGGCATGAAGAGGTTCTGCCGAGATATCCACATGATGCTGGGATTCAAACCTGGGCCCTATTTCAGAGCTTGCTGGATGGTCCTTTCTCCTGCAACAATGATGGTAACTGCTGAGCTTGAGCTACTGGATGGTGTTGGAAAACCATGGTGGTGCCAGTATCCCTGAGTGGCCTCCCAGGGATAAGTTCCCTGTGTGATAAGTTACTCTGCTGGCATCTCCTGCCCCGGAGACCATCCTTCTGCTGGGAGGTGTCCATCATCTCCAGGCCTTTTTTGAGCATGACACCTCTGGGATGACCTCATTTTCTTCCCATCCCACAGGCTCTGCTGGTGTATAACATTGTCAAGTACCAGCCTTCTGAGTATGGCAACTACCGCTTCCCCACCTGGGCAGAGGTCTTGGGCATCCTCATGGGAGTCCTCTCCTGCCTGATGATTCCCATGGGCATGGTGGTGGCAGTGCTCCAGGAAGAAGGGACGCTGTGGGAGGTAGGAGGAACTGGGGCCTGACATTGCTGGGGAGCACCCCAGAAATATGCAGCAGTGAGCACAAGCCCCTGCCAATCAGTATCCTCTGGAATTTTCTGTATCCTCTCTCCTGGAAGTGTGTGTCCCCATACCCCCTTGCCGCCCATGGAGTGTGAGAGTTGGCACATCCCAAAACATTTCCAACAGTGCTGCCTCCCATGATGCCAGGCAGGTACTGAGCAAAACTGCTGCCCAAGGGGCAGCCCAGTGTGCATTCCAAGTCCAAAACAAGCCTGCTGTGCCCTTTGAGGAAGCACAGCATGGAGTGGCCATGGGCACCTGGGACTTTGTACCCACTTGGCAAGAGCAATGACACAGCAAGGCAGGCAGCTGCCAGACTGTGCAGGCGGCCCAGATGGGATCCCTGCTCTGAAAGGCTTCTCCCAGGAGCAGGTTACAGAGCTGCTGGCTGCTCACAGCTTTCCCAGCCCTTCACTCCTTCACTGCTCTCGCCAGGCTGTTAAAAGCAGAGGAACAGAGCTTGATGCCCTCCCCAGGAAGCAATCCCCTGCTTGACACAGCCATGGGCAATGTGGCATGGCCAGGAGCCACCTTGGCCAAGGCCAACCCCTTGTCTGAGTGGCTCTAACCCCACAGCACAGGGCTGTAGCCCTACAAAACCCCCTTGCTCCTGCAAACTCTCACCTCCAGCACCCACCACCCATGACACCTCCCCAGCCCACAGCAAGACACTTAGACATAACCACCTTCCCAAAGACAGCTTTTCACCCCATCCCATCCTTACTGGGGGTTCCTTCAGTTCCTGGGAGCCAGTAGGGCACTGGGTGAGCTGCAGGGTGGGGTGCTGCCCGGGGAGGGGAGGATGCAGTGTGCTTGTGCTCCCTCTGCCTGTCCCTCACAGCGAGTCCAGCAAGCCAGCCGGCCGGCCATGGACTGGGGCCCGTCCCTGGAGGAGAACCGCACCGGCATGTACGTGGCGAGCCTGGCTGGCAGCCAGTCCCCCAAACCCCTGATGGTCCACATGCGGAAATACGGGGGCATCACCAGCTACGAAAACACGGCCATCCAGGTGGACCGGGAGATGGAGGAGGACGACGAGGAGGAGTCCATGATCTGAGGGGACTCAGGGTCCCATGGGTGGGAGCTCACCTCCCATTTTGCACAGGTTGCACTGCAGCACTTCAGGACAGCTTGGGGGGATCTTTCAAGGAGTAGTCAGGAGCTGCTGACCCTGCCAGGTTCCTCATCACCACCCTGGCCCTGCCCCCCCCGATGTGTTTCTGTTCAGTGTGACAAACTGTGTGACAAGTCCGTGTGTTTGTGTGACAGTGTCTGGTTGAAGTGTCAGAGCTGTCCCACTCCCACCCGCAGCCCCAGCCCTGCTGTCCCCACTCAGGGATGTCCAGGGTGGAGGGATGTCTAGGCTGCGGGAGGTGGGGAGGAAGAGAAGGAGCTCCTGTGCATTGATCTGTTCTCTCTTTGTCTGTATTTGACTCCAATAACCCATAAATACATGTGAGAGAATCTGTAACAGCCTCCATGCCCCGAGGACAGTTTGTGCCATGGAGGTATTCCAGCAAAACCAGCACAAATCAGTGTCCTCCTAAAGCAATTTGACCTAATAAATGAGTAGTTAAAAACAAGTAGAAGAATAAAAGAAAAGGTTTTATGAATAAACCAGGCTGTAGATCCCCCAAGGACCTTAGTGGGTCAGGGTGGCTCTTCCCTGTGGTACCTGGCAGGGTTGGGGTGACTTGAAGGAAGGGAAGAGATGGTGTAACCTGTCCCTCATGTGTGCAGGAGGTCAGGGACAGGTTTCAGGTGGACTCAGTGTCCAAGGAGGATGTGTCTATTGCCAAGGGAGTTCCAAGGTGCTGCCCCAGCCCTGAGTGCTGCTTTTCCCAGTGAAAGGAGAAGGGCTGGGTTTCAGTGTCTGTGTGTGATTTTGGGGTAGATCTGCCCATGTTCCACCTCCTGCTGACACTGATGGCCTGGGGGTCTTGGTGACCTCCTGGATGGGGCTGTTTGGACCTAATGCTGCCAGTCCCCATCATCACAGTGTCATGTGTGCCTTCTGCCACGTGCCATCAGCTCACCAGTAACAGTGCTGTGTGACACAGCCCCTGCCTGGGTTAATTGAGGGGTCTTCAGCATGGAAGAAAGGCACATCTAGATGAGCTTCCCATGCACATCTAGAGGGGCACAGCTCCTCCTGGGTTTAATTGTAAATCTTTGTCCTGGTAAAAGACAAAATTGTAGGACAAAGAGAAAAATTAGAGTCTATGTCTGGATTGTGGATGTGCTCCTGGTGCACTGGGCCCAGCACTGTGGCCTGAGCATCCAGGGTGAATTCTGTCAGGAGGCTGCAGCTTTCCTCCTTCCTTACAGTATACGAGATTTAATTATTGCCTTTGCAATAATTAGAGTGTAGGATTGGCTCCTACACCTTGTCCTCCTGCCTGCTCACCTCCTCTTCTCCAGGGATGCTGAGCCCATTTCCGAATGGCTGTGTCCTTCCTTTCTCCTGCAGGACCACTGATGGCTTTCCCCGTCCTCCTCACCATACCCCACCGTGGCTGCAGCCCATGGGGGCAATGGGGGTCCCCCAGCTCCAGCTCCTCCAGGAGTGTGGGGCTCCGGCAGCACAACCGTGAAGCACCTTCGACTGCTGGCCCCAGGTTAATCATTAGAGCCCGGCCATAAAAGCGTGGCTGATGGAAAGTTCAGGCCATGGCGGCTGGGGAGCGGGGAGGGCCTGCCATAAACATTTATGGCCCCAATGAATCCCTCGCTCTAACCTTGACACTATTTACTGAGCAGGAGGCCTCAGGAGGTCACGGTGTTGCCCAGCCATCGTTGTGGGTGCTGGCCAGGGAGCCCGGGCTGGGCTCGCCCCGGAGGGGCACACACAGGGGCCTGCATGGGATATGGACTCCAGCGTTTCATGATGTCACTGCTGGCCACAAAGTACCAAAAGAACCAGGAGAACCAGGAGAACCTGGAGAACCAGGAGACAGCTTCCCACAGCATAGAGTTGAAGCTGCTCAGGGCTGACCAAGATGGCTCAGTCTCTGCATGTTCCTCAGCTTTTCCTACCTCCATGGGGTCCTACCATATTCCCCAAGTCCCCATTGTGATGCTGGGATCCTCAGGGCTCTCCTTTGGTAGGTGTCATCAACCAGCACTGTGCTGCAGAGCGATGGGAGGGATGGAGCCGAGGCTGTGCCAGGGATCTGGCTGGGAGGCAAAGCTGGCAGTGAAGGAGGACACCAAGGGCAAAAGGCAGTGGGGCAGTGGCACATCCGGAGGACACGTGTCCTGCACCATGCATGGCTGCCCAGGGCTGGGGGGGGAAACGCAGCAGCGGGAACATTCCAGTGCTGACACCTGCCGGGGCCGGGGCAGATGGCAGGGAGAGGGGGCAAAGGGGCACCCCAGGGCCTGGGGTGGAGCAGGAACAGAGGATGTGGCAACCTGACTCCAGTTCCCCTGAGGTACCAGCCCACCTGCACGAGCAAAGTCCAGCAGGTGCCCGTGGGATCCCCCCGGTCCTCCCTGAACTCGGCTGGACGTCCTGTGCCCCTCACCCTGTAGCACCAGCTTCCTCTAAACTCCCCCAAACTGCCCAGTGGGCACCCCCACCCCCCCATCTAGCTTGAACACATGCTGGGGGCTCCCAGATACCTGCAGCCCCAGAGCCCTGCCCCTGGGAAAAGGGCTGGATTGCAATGAGCTGGGTCTGGACATGACATCGAACTCCCTGAAACCCCAGAGATGCTGGAGACCAGGGGTGGGCAGTGCCCAGAGTATCAGCATCCTGCAGGCAGCCCCTGCCCGAGGCCTGGTCCCAGCCTTGATGCTTTCGAGGACAGGAGTGCGGTGATGGAGGGACAAGGGGGTGGCAGACAGTCTGAGTCACTGCAGTGACGGAGAATCATCCGTTTCCATGCTCAGAAGTTGGTAGCTATTTATTGCACTTGAACACCAAGAATAAAACTGACACTCGCCCTCCCTCCCACACCCACCCTGCTCCCTGTCCCCCCCACACACACTGCTCTCCCCAAACAGAGAATCCGATTTGAGCAGTGATCATTCTGTTCACAGCCGCAGGTTCAGAAAAGACAAAGGAAAAGGAAACAAAATCAATCCTCCCCCATCCCCCCCCCAAGTTCCCACTGAATCCAACACGGTCACACTGCTCAACAGTTCGAGTGCACTTACAAAAAGAGAAGAGAAAGGCTTCAGCTGCAACCATACAGACGAACAGACACGAGGGGACAGGCAGCTACCCCTCCCCGGGGCTTGATTTTTTGTTATGTGACAAAGCTAAGTATACTCTTAATTATAATATATTTTTTGCAATCATCTTAAATAAATATTTCCATAGAGATTTCCTGTAAGTATATATATTTTTTATATATATAATATATAAGAGAGAGAGATAGATCTCTTTTTTTTCCTTAAACCACTGTTAACATATTTTCCCTGCTTGTCCAAAAAATGTTACAAAATCCCTAAAATTGTGCAACAGTTAGAAAAAAGGGACAACAATCCAAAGAAGGAAGGAGCCACTCAATACAGTCCCCTCCACTGCTCCCTCTCTCCCACTCCCTGTTTATGACCTGCAAAAAGAAAGGAGATTCAGATGAATCTGGTGGCAGAGTGGCCACCAGCCCCTGCTCTGGTGTTCCCACAGCCTGCTCACATCTGGGTTTCCCTGTCTGATATGGATGGGACTTGAACCTTGGGACATGGGCAAGGGTGAGGTCTCTGCTGGCTGGAGGATCTGTGCAGCATCAAGAGCGTGAGGTACACCAAAACCCGTCCTGTGGTGGGGAAGAAGGGTCAGTCTGGCTCCTGGGGTGGTCAGAGGAGGTTATGTGATCTGCTGCTGGCAGACACCTCTTGGTCCATGGGGCTGTGTGGCTGCCCTCTCACACATGGCACTGCAGTCCCACTACGGGCTGCAGAGCCCACCAGGAGCTCCAAGTGGGAGTAGATGACTGCTGCCTGTTCCTGCTTCTGGGGCTCCATGGGGGCATCCATGGGAGGAGAGGCAGGTTTGGGGTCAGACAAGGATTTGGTGCCTGGCACAAGGGACATTTCATGCGGGTTTGGGGGGGAAAGACAGCTTTCCTAGCTGTGCCTAGCTGGGGTGAGGAGGAGGCCTGTTTGGCTTCCAGAGGGGGATACATCAGCAAGATGTGAGAAATTATGATGTTGCCAGTGGACCTTGGCAGCCAGGAAAACAGGCAAATCCCAAGCCCACCTGTGGAGCTGGGGGCTCGACATCACTACAGCAAGTGCTTCCAGTTAGACATCCCCTGTGATCTGGGAGAGGTGGAAGAGAGGATGAGTTTGGAGGACTTGTGAGTTTGGTTTGAACCAGGCACCAGGAGACCAGAGGAGAGGAGCTCTGTCTGTGCCAGGAAATTAAATGTGCCATAGCCTGATCTCCAGCCTTGAGGCCAATGGGACAGGAGGCCCGCAGTGGTAAACTCTATCCCAACAAGGTGGCCTTTTCCATGTTGCTTATTAGGAATACCCCTGGACGTTGTTATTCCCAGAACCATGGTGGGATTGTTGGGGCAATGCCCGTTTGCATGTGTCAGAGACAGAGCCAACAGCTTAGAAGTAGAGATGTAACAGCAGCATCCCTGGCTCTTCCAGCCAAAGAAGGATGGTGGAAACTTATTTATATAGCTTTCCTGCAAGTTTAGGAGGAATCAGCAAATGCAAAGGAAGACAGAAACAGATGTTTTCCATGGATACTGAAAGAAAATGTGGTGGTCCATCAGTGCTTGCTGAGATGCTCTGGAGACACAGGAACCTGCTCTGGAGAAGCAGGGCAAGGTGGGGCAGAGACACCAGGCAGGACAGACCCCTAAAGTGCAGGTGCTTAATGTTGCCAGCGTGGCCATGTTGGGAAGTTGAGTCTTCCTTGGTCAGGATGCAGCTTGACTGGAAGACTAGAATGAGTTTAAACTTCAGACTCTGCTCCCCTTGGAAAGGAGTGTTGCAAGGATATCCAGCTGCCTCCTGGGGAGATAACCTTAGGGAAACCTCAAGGAGGAGAAACTCCCTCCAAGACAACACATCAAAGCCTTCCTGGGAGCCAAGATGCTTCTCCCTAGAAGTGACTATGGGTTCTCAGTGGAAGGAGATTGTATCTACCCCAACACCTCATGTCTTATTCCCAGCAAATCCCACCAGACCTGCAGTCTTAGTCCTTTCTCCAGTAGCAGCTGCTGGAGCAGTTTCACCCTCACAGCCCATCCAAAGTCCACAGCTATGAGCAGCTTCAAAACCAGGCTGAGATGGCATCTGCCCTTCAGCCCCCAAGCAGAGCCCTAATATGGTATCTTCCATCATCATCCACCTTATACCAATTCCCAAAAATCCTCTTGACACCTGAAGAGCCTGGACATCAGAAGGTGGATGACACTGACCATGGCTGGCTTCAGAGCCAGCTCTGGAGAGGGAGAGAGAGAACTGTGAAAGAGCCGAGTCCTTCCTTTAAAAATTAAAAAAGCTTTTCAGCACTACATGACTACAGGAAGAAAAACAGATCTGTAAAAACACCCAAACTCTACCTTAAAATCTAATCCTTTCCCTGCATGGATTTCCCTTCTCTGGGGAACTCTCACAAGCCTATGGCGCACAGGTCCACCAAAGGCATGGGGAACCCCATGGGCACCCATGGATCAGCTCTGTGATTTGCCCCCAAAGGCATCTCCTACATACATCACCAGCAGCCATTGCACTGCTGGCACAGAGGAACACACCAAAACATTTCTCAGGGCATGTCCATGCCCTAGCAGTTGGGATTTCTTCCCCTCCATCCAGTGGGAAAATATTTTTGCAGTCTGCAAGGATGCAGCTGCATTTGGCATGGTGGCCGTCCCTGCCTCAACAGAGAGCAAAGCATTCAAAACCACAGAAAAGGCAAAATACACGCTCAGAATTTACATGGAGGAAACATTTCCTCTTTTTTTTCTTTTTTTTCTTTTTTTTCTTTTTCTTTTTTTTTTTTTTAGGTCCAAAACAAGCAGGTTTTGTTCATTTCTTTGTTTTGCAACACACGCACCGTCTAGAAAGTTAAACACCATGCAGACAAAGAGAGTGGAGCAAGAAAGTACCCCGGGGCAGCAGTGCTGCAGAAGTCTCACATCAGTGAGCGAAGATGCTCCAGTCAGAAAAAAGAGAATGTGAAAGGAAGAATTGCCAGAGAAACACCCACCCTTGGACCTCTACCTGATGGCAAAGAGGTGAGACCAACGTTCCCCTTCCTGGCCATGCCTTCTGTCCTGAAAGCCACATACTGGTGGCATTCCCAGAGCCACCACTGTGATTTGCCCCGCAGGAAGACCCAGAGGGTGCAGGAAGGTGCAGTGCCACGGCAATGTGGGTGCCACCCAAAGCTGTGGGACAAAACGGGACAAGCCACCACGGTGTGGGGAGGGGGCTGGCAGCCGTGGGACCCCTGGTAGAAGCATCGTGGCAGAACAACCCCACTTCAAATGTAAACGCAATGAAAAACAGCAACCCCCGAAAATCCCCCCTCCCTCCCCACTTAAACAGTTGAATGTTTCTAGTTATTACATAAAGATCCATTTCAGCAAATACTCAAAATCAAGTTACGAAATACACGGTAGGTTGGTTTCTTTTCCCTATAAAAAGGCATGCGCTCAAAGGAGAAGACAGCGAAAGGCTTGTTTGTTTTTGTTGAAGCACAATCAGATTCTGCAGTTTGTCACTAAAGCTTGCATTCCTTGTTGTCGCTGGAAGGAGTCACGTGGGACATGGAGGTTTGTGCCCCGAGCCAGCAGCCAGCTTGGCTGCCCCTATCCCATCCTGGGAGTCGGGAGCAAAGGAACGCCAGTGCTGTGTGGGGGGGCAGGGGTGGGTGCTGGGGTAAAGGATCCAGGCTGGGTGAGGAGGAAGGTGCAGGGGTGATGCTAGCCTGGACGTGGATGGGAGAGCCCCAGCTCCTGCTGTGCTGATGTGGTACTGGTCATTTTCCTCCTCTCTTCTCTCAGCATCGCCAGTCTCTGCTCCAAAGGGAGAAGGGAGGAAGGAGGGAGAGCATCCTTCTTGGCACAGCAGTTGCCTGGAGCTAGGGTGCAAGCCTACTTGCTCTCCTGGGAAGGAGCCAGCCTGCACTGGGAAGGGAAAATCAACAGATAGTCTTTACTCACCCATCCAAACACGGCCCTCCTTGCACAGGTATGCATGAAAAGTGGAATTGGGAAATGGATTGAATTGCAGTTCCCTGGACGAGGCTGCTGGGAAGCAGGAACGCAGGTTCGGAGCAGGCGGGAGCCACGGCAGCAGATGGGGACCTTGATAGCAGCAAAGCAAAATCCACCAGCACGCAGGGAGAATGCAGCAGAGAGAGGCTCAAAACTGTCCCCTCTTCTTCGGAGGGCTTCCAGCAGAGGTGGGGACAGAGGTGGATGATGAGTCTGAGCCCAGTTCAGGAGATGTGCTGGGTAGTGAGGAGGCCCACTGACGCTATGCAGCTGATGAGGGGCGCCTGTACACCGGCCAGATGCTTGGGTTTGAGTTCATGGTTTCTCTTTTTCTGGTTCATGCAGAGGAAGGGGGCCCAGCGCCATGACCCCGGTGGGGTGGGGGGTTGGATGGGATGCTTGTGCTGCACTGGCGGGGCCGTCGTGGGTGTGCGGTGAGAAGCGAGGGGTTATTCCAGCGGGAACCAAGCAGCAGAGCCAACAGCCAAAGTCCCGTAGGTGAACATGTCGGAGGGGTCTCCCCTTGGTAGTCAGTCAGTGACAAACCCAACACGGGCAGGGCCACGCTTCAGCTGCAAAACACAGACCCAGAAGAGCCGGAATTTGCTTTGACCATCCCTTTGGCAGAGCACCCCTCTCCCCCATTGCTATCTCACAGCAATCAGCCATCTCACCACCACAGATCCTCAGGACAGCATCCCACATCCTGTGAGCCTCAATGCTGCAGCCAGCCCACACCCACGCCCAGCCCTCCCTATCCCTTGTGCCCCACCCCTGGATGCTCACAGGGCTTACTGCGGTAGGACCGAGGGCGCGCCAGATCTGTGGAAGTGAACAATCTGCCATTTGCCATCCCGGCGGTGCCAGATGCGGGTCTCCTCGGACTGGGCAGTGCGGGGGATCCCTCCAGAGTCCACGTACTGCGTGATACGGATGTAGGCGATGCAGGCAGACTCGTCTCCCATCAGGTGGATGTGGGGGTTCAGGATCGTCGTGTGCACGGGCTTGCTGTTCCGGGACCACACTGAAGAGGGGACAAGCACAAGCGGATTTTGGCAGGGGAAGGAGTTTGGGTGGCTCTTGCTCAGGGTGGCAGTAATGTGGGAAGGGGAGACGTTTGTGTTAAGCTCCCTGCTTCATGGGGCTGAGTAAATGCTGTACAGGTGGATTCAGAATGGGTCCATCTAGAAAATAGCTAACCCAACAACTCCTCTACAGACACCTGGCCCCAGCTGACCTAACACCTCCTGCTGGGATATTCCAAATCAGCCAGAGATGCTACCACAGAAACCCTAACCCTATTCCCTCCAGCAAACTGATGGAAGTCAAGACAGGCACATGGGAGGTGGAGGGGTCCCTCAGAAAGCGAGCTGCTTACGGTTTTCAAAGTAGAATCGGTGGAAATCCAGGCCTTCCACAAGGTTGCCCAGAGCCTCAGGCTCAAAAGCAGTCATTCCAGGGTCACACATCTTCCTGGGGAGCCAGGAAGGGGAGAAAAAAGGGAGAGGTTATCTCACCACTTCTGGCATGAGAGCCTGAAGAACCCAAAAGTCTTCTGCTCAGGATGGCTCCTTCAACCTGAGGCTGAGGAGTGTCTGCACCAGTGAGTCATTTTTGCAAAAATCTAACCTCAATCCTGCATTCTGCCCAGCCCACCTCCCCTCCTGCCCACTGACTGTAGCCAAAACTCCACCAAAGCAGGGTGCCTTCTCCATCAGTCACCCTCTGCAATTAAGCCTCCTCAAACATTGTCATCTTCTTTATAAGAAAGGAAGTAATCAGGCAAAAAACTCATATTGTCTTCTCTATGTGAAAATATCCCTGCTGCAATCCTCTGAGGCAGGGATGACAACCTGCACTCACTCAGACATCACTAATTACATCAGCCTTGGACACAGAATAGGTGTACTCTGAACAGCATCAGCTCAGCAAGCAGAAATCATCTACTCTTCAGAGCAGCCTGTGGCAATCCGGATATAATGGATTCCACGGATACAAACACTTCTTTCACCATAAGTCATGCTTACAATTATTCCTCTTTCAGCAAACCAAAAATTTGGCTCATCCGTGACAGTGAGATCAGAGAGAACTGTGGTCAGTTGAGCACAAGAGCAGCATCAGGCTTAGAAACTGATGTCTCTTTCTTCTCTTGGATGGTCTCCACTCTCCCCCACCACATCAACCTGGCCACCCTGCCCCGGGGCAGCAGTAAAGTCTTCTGGGCAGCACTGTGAGAGACCCCAATCTGGGAGGCTGAGCCCTCACCCAGCCCAAACCCGCACTGGGCACACTCACGTGTAGGACTCGAAGTCGCCATTGCTTATTGCTTCAATCAGCTGCTCTGTGACTTTAATGATTTCTTGCTTCCGTACTGTTGGTTTAAAGAGAAAAGGGAAATAAAAGGATAAAACAAACCAGAAGTAGGCGCTAGTGTTACCATATCGGTGAGAGATCTTTATCTCATCAGAAACAGACCACAGGATGTGGGGAGACTTTGGAAATTGTACAGGGAAAAAGCAGGAGAGCAACTAGGGAGAGAGAGGTGGAGAAGGGCTCTTCATCTCCAGATTTTCAAAGTCATGGCAAAACTGAAAATGCCTGTAATTTCCTAAAGAGCCAAAAGGTTAATCACCAAGTGGGAAGCTATCCTCAGACCAAAAGTTGGGAAAGGCCGGTCTTGGCTGAAAAGCCTTGCTAAGCTGGGACCCTCTACCCCATGAACTCACAACAGAGGCCAGCTAGGGCAAGCTCCCTCTGAAATGGGAGGGTCTCAGAAGGGAGGAGAACAGGTGAGTGACACGTAAAGCCACCCGAGAAGATACAAGAAGGGATTCTGCAGCTGCTGCCAGAGATTTATTAACAAGGCTCTGCTTCAAATGCAAATTGGCATCATGCTCGACTTTTGTTTTTCCTTTGCATTGTGACTAATGAAAGGAGAGGGAGCGTGTTCCTAGGAGTTGTTCAGAAAGCGAGGGAATCCCATCACTTCCTAAGCACCACCTGCCTCCACATCCAGGCTCAAGGAGCCCCTCTCCATAAGGACAAGCTGTCCCATTAGCTCTCATGTCAGGCCAAAGTCCATCCTGCTTTGTACTGAGATCACTTCATCGAGAGACTTTACAAATTAACACCGATAAATTATTCCCTGGGTTATTCTTAGAAAGCTACCTCTGGCAGGCAAGCGGGCGGCAGACAGGGATTTCCCCTGGAGGCTTTTCCCAAAGGGATGCTTATTTTAAAAGAGCAGCCAGGCTGCTATCCCTGCAGATTTCTGCCATTTCCACACCTGCTTTCAGGGAACATTCCTGTTCATGGGAGCACCTCGCTCCTCACCAGCAGTGCCCCAGCTGCTCGTGTCAGCAACCCAGCATTGAAACCATCTGAGGCGTTAAGGCAACTTCTGACGAGCCCTGAGGTGAGTTTTGCTGTGCAAACATCTCATGAGGGGTGGCCAGACCCATGGGCACCCCTCCAAAACAACCTGCCCACCTTTCCACTTGCCCCCACTGGTACCTTTGGTGTCTTCGTCCTCAATGGTGGTGTTGGTGCTCTCCGACGATTCCTGAGCAAAGAACAGAAAGGAGACATGGGGTGGTGAGAAGAGTCTTCTCCCCAGGACAGATGGTGCTCATGTGTTCGACAGCCCCCCGAGTCTGACCTCACAGCGCTCAACTGTGCCAGCAGACAGAAACCAAGGAAAACGCCAGCAGGTCCAACCTGTCCTCAACCACAGCTCTAGGGCAGCACTGGCAGAGCCCTCCCTGACCTCCACCCCTTGTTGCCAAGGGCACAAGAGATGGGCTGTGGAGGGTCTCGTAGGAACGGCGCTGCCTTTCCTACCGACACCTGTGGGGACAGAGATGGGGGCAGGTCCAGGGGCCATGTGGTGGGTTCCTAGGAGCGTTGCCGGAGGGGCAGGGAGAGGGGCTGTGCAGGGGTGGAAGACACCATGTTGACTGTACAATAAAGAGAGAGATGTACAAATTAACAGCGAGGAGGAGCTGGGATGAGAAAGAGGGGACTGTGCAGGAGTGAGAGAGACCACACTGACCGCAGAGTAGGGAGAGAAATGTACAATAAAACAGTGCTTCCAAGACCCACATGGACCACTGAAGGCTGAGACACAGCTCTTTCAAGAAACAGCTGAGCACTACACAGATTTGGGGGGAGAGGGGTACTGACCCCCTGTCTCTCTCCAGGAGCCTCATCAAGGTAACTCTGCTAGCGGAGCTAGAGCAATGGCTCTGCTAGCTCTTCCCAGCAGAGCCTTGCTTGTGTATTACCCAGAAGACCCCGATGTAGGTTGACAAGGTGTCCCATGACCATACAGTCCCCGCAGAGGCATGGAAGATGTTTCTCCAAGGCTCCTTGGACCGATGCAGCCTGCAGACCTGAGTCAGGAGAACTGGGAGAAACGGCATGAGAACCCATCAGCAAGAGCCAGGGCTGGCTTCCCACCAGCTGGTGGCCAGCAAGTGTCTGCACCAACCCTGTTAATGGGGTTTGTGGGTGATACAGCTTTGAGGATGTTCCCTCCAACCCCGCTGTCCCTTCTTCCCTACCCCGAGGACACTTCCAAAGACGGGGGAAGCTGGAACATGTGGAGAGGCCCAGCGATATCGGCATTTAGGAAGACGAAGGACACTCACCATTAACTGAACGCTGGAACTGGACTTTCTTTTCTGGAAAAACAAGGAGAAGAGATGGAACAGGAAGAGACACAGAGTGAGAAAGGCTGAGAGCAGCACATGAAAGGCAGCAGCTCCTGAGCCACCATTCTTGGGCACGGAAGGCGCAGAGGGACTCGTTGCTCGTGTGGGGATGGCTGTGGTGTTGGTGGTGACTTTCCAGCTCCTCCCCGCATTCCTGCCAGCACTTTTCTCTCCTGACCTGCCACAATCTCTGGGGCTGCTCATCCCAAGGACCTGGCCAGTCCAAAAGGGAATCCCCTAGGAATCAGTGACCACTCTGGTGGCCTGTGACCAGGCTGGAAAGCTCACAGGAGCAGAAGTGGGATACTGAAAAACTAAGGCAGCTTCACCACAGCCCTGTGCCCAGTGTGAATGCTGTACTGACTTCTCTGGATCTGCTCTGGTTGTCTCTGCTGATGGCACTGATTGATGTGGAGACACTCCTTTAGCTTTGAAACTACACCAGTCCTAAGCTGGCTGGTTTAAGGCCAGTAAGGCGTTAGGCCTCAAGGCAGGCCCACAGTGTGGGAAGCAGTCCTGAGCACAGCTTCAGTGCTTTAGATCAGGACGCCAAAGGGAAGACATGCATATTTATCTCCATCCTTGATCACTAGCACCAGGCTTTAAGGTTTTTGGGTTGGATGACCCCCATATCCTCTCTTCTGCTTGCAATCTTAAACTACTTCTGGACTCTCCTTCCTTACTGTGCTCTGCTCCCCATCTCCATCTTTAATTTATCTAGGAGACAGGGGGACATGCATGCTGACCTCATACCCCTTGTGCACCTCTGGCTCCCAGGGAATGAATCCCAGTATGAGTCAGGGAATACCAACGTGCAGAAATCAGAATCAGCAGTGCCAAATAACTAAATGCTGTACCAGCACATTTAACAAGGCACCAGCTGTGCCTGCCCTGCAGAGGGAAAAGCAGCACACACTGTGCAAATCTCTTGGAAAAGTCCATGGAGCAACCCATTAGGGTGCGTGGGTGGGCTACATCATAAAAACCGATTATTTTAATTCCCCCTCATTGCTCCTTTCACATCCTAACTAGCTCCCACCAGCATCCTCCGTGAGCTTCCCCCTCTACTACTGCTGCTCTCTCCTTCCTTGCTAGGTCATAGAATCAGGGAATCACAGAATGGTTTGGATTCGAAAGGACCTTAAAGATCATCCACTTCCTAAACCAGGCTGCTCAGAGCCCCATCTAACCAGGCCTTGAACACTTCCAGAAATGGGGCACCCACAGCTTCTCTGAGCAATCTTCCAGTGCCTCAACACTCTCACAATAAATAATTTCTTCTTTATATCCAATCTAACCCCGCCCTCTATCTGTGTGAAGCCATTACCCCTTGTTCTATCACTCCATGCCCTTGTCCAAAGTCCCTTTCCAGCACTCTTGTAACCCCTTTAGGCACTGGGCCACCTGTCAACTCTCGCCCTTCCTTCACCAAAAAAAGAGATGTCCTAAAGGGCAGAATGAGCTGTGGAATTTTGTCAGGAACCTCATGGAGAAAGGGAGCCACTGGAGCTGGGCTGTTGCAGGAAGGACTGACAGCTTCTGCTACCCAAGGACATGAGACGGGGCAGCAAACTGCAGAAATTTCAGACACAACAGAATGCAACACAAAGCAGTGACCGCGTTGAGTCTGGACATACAGTAACAGGATGTGACACGGGGCAGTGAGCTCATCAGTTTAGGACGGGACAGGATGCGACACGGGGCAGTGATTCCATCATTTACAATGGGACGAGATGTGACACTACACAGGGCAGTGAAAGTATCATAGCTGCTGGGACCAGAGGATCTCCCACGGATCCCAGAGCAGGGCTCTAGGGGGATTTCTGGTCCCAGAAATGCTTTTAGGAGGTGAAGAACCTCCTCTGGAGGGTGAGTTTTGAGCCCTCTGAGCCTGGGCTGGCACCATGCTGGTGTTGGAGGGCTGTGCAGGCAGGCCAGAGGACAGCTCCAGCTGCCTGCTGCCCACCAGCACAGCTTTAGGCAGGAAAGGCAGGGGTGGCTGCCTGGGATCTGCCTGCTCTCGTGGGGATGGCCATTCCAGCACGCTACTCCAAGTGGGGACACAACTCTTCTGACAGTGACCCACACCATGTGACCCCACTCTGAGCAGGCAGGACCATTCCCTTCCCACTGTGCCAACCACTCAAGGCAGGCTTCCAGATTCCTACCTTGCTTTTCCAGCCCACTGGAACACTGCTCAGCAATGTCCTGACATCTGCTGGTTGCCCAGTGGGCCATTAGAGCTTTACCCACAACACCCAGCCTCCCTGTGCCCTCCTGAATGAGTTATGCTGCAGGTCTCCCCAGGCTGAGCATGGGAATGAGAGGTGGGGATGATTATGCTGAAGGTGGATAATGCAAGGAAGCTGTTGGGAATGAGCTTGTCTCTACCTTGGCTTTTCTTCCTGCACCTTCCTGGCCATTCCTCTTTACTTGTTGAAAAGGGTGGCAATAAAAAACAAATTCATTCCCAGAGCTTGTCCACACTCTTCAGATGAGTGCTGGTGGCTAGACTGCACTTAGAATGAAGCCTCATGATCTGCTTACCTCTCACCAGCGAGGGCTGAGGATGCAAACCAGCCTCTCTCATCCTGCTCTGAAACCAGACTCTCCTCACTGAGTTGCAGTGAAGAGCCAGAAGGCTGTTCACCCAAACAAACTATTTTGCTATAACAGGAAGTGCCTCTTTTCCCAGGATAATGTCTGCCCTCAAAGCTCCTTTGAAGTCCAACAGAGAGCATCATTAGTAAGTTGGGCTGGCAAATGGTTGTCTACCACAACACAGAAATTCAAAGGTGTCCCTTTAGATTCAGGACTGGGCCTGATGAAGCCTCTTCATCCAGAAATCTCTCCTTTAGTAGCTTAAAAATGCATCCTCTGTTTGGTCTCACCTGTGCTACAGCAACTTGTACCAAGTCAGCTCTACCTGTGGTATCACATCTTAGGTGACTCCCAGAAGCAACCGGGACCTCAGAGGACCAGAGGAGCAGTGTCTGGCACATGGGGTGTTGTGACTACTATGGGATCTGCCAGCACCAGCCCTATTAATTCTGTCCTGGGAGTCTCATGTTATCCTGAAAGCCCAAAGTAATGTCCTCTCAAAGCCATCCAGGCCATCAGCTTCATGCTGCAGCATAACACTGCATGGCCAGGACGGCCTCTTGTGGAGCTGAGCCCAGGTTTGGAGGGCTGTGCATGGTCTCAGTCCTTGCAGGCTTCTCCTGTCCCAGCTGCTGGGTCTGGGAAGAATGAGAGAAACATGCCATCCCTAGACCTCCAGCTTCACCAACCGTTTATATTGAGTAAGGAAGAAGCTGGCTAAGAGCTCTGCTCTTCCAAAACCCTGCACCCATCAAGCCCAACAGTTGGGTCCCCGCAAAAGGGAGGGAGAAGGTTCTGTAGGTTCTCCCAACAAAGGGCCTCTATAGAGGAAGGAGAGTGGCCACACTGCAGCTGGGCTCCCAAAGCTCTGCCCGACAATGGAGGATGTCACCACGATGGAGATGTCACCACGCCAGCTCTCCCTTACTGAGTGATCCATTGTATTAATGAAGGGAACAGATAAGGAGAGAAAGAACCTCGCATGGACCATTCCCTCCTGCAGGAGTTTGACAGAACTCAATAACCATTGCTAGCCACCACATCTCCACGTCACCAGAAACAGCAGAATTTTGCTGCCTCCTGGAGCCACCTTGTCCTGGAGCAGAGCTGTGGCCCTGCCTTGGAGGGGCTGATGAACCTGCAGGCTCTGCAGCCCAAGAAACAAGATGCACCAAGCACCAGCTTGTTTTTAGAGTATCACCAACCCGTTTACTCTGTTGAAGCATCACCACGTTTTTTTGCTATCTGCACTGGGCACAGGGGACAAGCAGCACTGCCAAGGGGGTTAAAAGCACCCATGTGTCACCCAGCAGCAAACACTTGGGACAGGATGGGACAGGAATTGGGACCAGTCTCAGCAGCTGCAGCAGGACTTCCATGCTGAGTGAGCAGGAGGTGAGGCCACCCATCCCACTAGACAGCTGTTGTTGGGGCCGTGGTTCTGTGCTGTAAAGCTGCCTCCTCCTGACCCCTGTCCCCCTCCCTGGGGGCAGCGAGGAAAACAAGCGCATATTGCCGGCAATGAAACAGCAGCGAGCTCCCGCAGTGCACCCTCCAGCACCAGCCCACTCCCCTCGCCCGCTGCGCTGCAGAGCCCGCTGTGCATTGCCTGTGTTGGCAGGAGCCCAGCCAGGGGACACACCGGGACAGCCGAGCCAACAGCTGCCCTTTAGAGTGCAGGGTGTCGCAGGGACTGCCGGCGTGGCGCGGGGACCACGGGCACAGCACGGAGACCCCACCGCCAGCAGGGCATGGAAATGCTCACCACCGGCAGGGCACAGAGACCCCAGCACTGCCTCAGCAGCACAGGGCACCGGGGCTGAGCTTACCTTCACGCCGTCATTCTTCTTGTTGCCACCACTTTTGCCTCCTGGAGAGAGGAGGAAGGAGATTAGCAGAGCCAGGCAGGGCACCAGGACCAGGAGGGCGAGGATCAGCAACATGGTGCCGGGTGCCAGGGCGGCAGGATCCCCGGCTGGTGGGGTTCGTCTTCTCTCCAGCAATCACCGGTGCAACCCGTGGAAGCTCAGGGGCGACCTTGCCAGCACTGTCCCGTCCTACCCCAGTGGCTCTCGGCCAGGGGCATGACCCGTGTCCTAACGTCACGCCGGGTCCCTGGGGCGGCTGGAGGGGCCGGCAGGGCTGTCCGGCACAGCAGAGGCGGGCTCTGGCCGGGCGGTGCTGTTGACCCGGCGTGGTGCAGTGTGGAGGAATGGGCTGCCCGCCTGCCGCCCTCTAATTTTAGCCCCATGCTGCCGGGATCATGTGCTGCCGGCCCGCCGGCCCGACAGCTGCAAGCCCGCATTTTGACAAGGATGAAAAGCAGGCGCCTTGCCCTGTGCCCACCCACCGCAGCCGACACTGCCCCAGCCCCCCCGGCCGCACAAGCCACCCCAATGCCCTGAACCCCAGCGCAGGGCGGACCGGTGCCCAGTGCCTGTCGCCCACAGCCCTGCCGTGCTCCCGGGCAGGGGACACTGCTGAGCCTTTGGGCCACGCGTGGGACAGGCAGCACTAGGAGAGATGCTTTTGAACCTCCTGCCTTTTGATGCTTCCTGTCCGCCTCTCCCGGCGTGGGGCCTGACATCCGATACCCCCAGCTGCTGGACTCCTCCAGCACCCGCCACAAGTGCTAAATGTGTCAGCACGATCCCCCCACGACAAATGCAGATACCAGCCCTGGCCACAGCCCTCGGTCCTGGCACCCCTGCCCACCTGCTACACCTGACACTCGGGGAGTCTCAGCAAAGCACCCTGAAACAACCAACTAACCCAAAACAGCTGCCACCAGTCAGCTCAGCAGAGTGCAGGGCTTGGCTAGTGTGTCCCAGCCCTGTAGCACCGCTGCAGGGCCATCCCCAGCACTGGGGAGGGCTGGAGGTGACAGCGGGTGGATGAGCTCTGCAGTCACATGGCTCCATTTGGTTCCATGGGGAATCGCCTGTGAAATCGCATATGCAGTGTGGTGTCCCCAGAGGGAACAACTCTCAGGGAGGGCACTGGAGCAGAGGGGTTTCTGGCTGCACTGAGACCTCTCCAGTGCCATGCTCGGTCCTGTTGCCATGGCAGCCCTCGGGATGTAGGGAGGCAGGGGGAGAGTGAGGAATCCTGCACGTTTAGCATCCACCTGCCTGGGGAGAGACCTGCGAGATCCTGTTGCCATCTGCCTGCAGTGGCACCAGGGCTCTTTCCCTGCTCCTGATGCAGAGGATGCTCTCTCTGAGCCATCCCCAGGAGGACACAAAACCAGCTGCTTGAGCTCTGGCTGCCCCCAGCACCCACATCCCCATCCCTGCAGAAGATAGATGGTTGGGTGCATACAAACCCCAAAACTCTAAAGCATTGTGGATCACTGAGCCTCAACCACACATTTTCTTTTGCATCCCAAGCCAGCAGCCAGCCTGGAGGTGCCAGGTGACTTCTCCTGGAGGAGCATGCAAAGCCACACATCTGCAGAGGCACAAGGCTGCAACCTCAGCCTCTCTGTGACACATGAGGCACAGCCAGCTCTCCAGAGACCCTACAGATTTGCCCTGGGTATCCTGTAAGACAAGGAGATTAGTCTCAGAGACAGCACCTACCGGAGAAGTTTCTGGTGGCCAGCATGGTGGTGAGGATGGCTCCCTGAAAGACAAGGAAGGCAGAAGGAAAGGGTGTGCTGGACCCCAGCCCCCTGCTGCTCCCCCCATCCCTGGGGGAGGAAAACCCTGCTCAGCACCTGTCCCCCAGCCACTGGAAGGAAGGAAACTGGCCCACAGATTGATATTCTCCTCCTGCTATCAAAAGCAGCTCTCAATACCTCCATATCCCCAGCACCATGGCATTGGGTTGCATTCTCCAAAACTGTCTTCCCTCTGAGATTAAAGGGATATTAAATATCGGCGGGGCACTTCTCAGTCTCTGACTAGCCTGTCCTAGATGAAGCACAACCCCACTGACTGGGGCCAGCAGCTGGCAACAAGGGGACCCACTGGGAGTGGAACCAGAATTAATTGTGATTAAAGCTGTGCCAGTTGAGAGCAGCAGGACAGGGACTGCTCGTGGGAGCCATGCAAAGATCACTACCACAAAACAACATTTGTAAAAATCCTTCCCCTTTTCCAGCTGAGTCTACTAACTAGTTGCTAAGTGTATAATGAGATTATTTTGGACTAATTGCTTACAGTAATGGATTACTATTTTGAAGCGTATGCCTGAACTAATTTGATTACTTGTCTAGCTGAAAAGTAATAATAGTTTATAGCCAGCTTCTTTGCTTGATAATCTTGTTAATAGCCTGCAGCTGTACTGCTCTGTGCCGTGCTGTGTTCAGGCCTGGAGCGCTGATGGCTCCGGCTGTGGCACAGACCAGCCTCACCCTGCTCTGCTGGAGGCATTGTGATTTCCATAGCCCATTCCCAGCGCCCTGCTGCCAGCTGAGGCTGAGCAGCACCCGAGACATGCGTGCCTCAGGGAGGTGCTCAAGCTGGAGATGGTGATTTCAGAGGGGTCCAGGCTGTGGCACATGGCAACATCGAGAAGGAAAGGCTGTGGGGCTGCTGGGGTGGGTGAGTTTTTTGTCTGTCTGTGGATCACTTTATTTCTTGGCTGCAAAGTCTCCTGGCCATCAGGCAAAGGGTCTCACTGTGCCTCTCAGTCCCGTGTCCAACCCCAAAAAGAAGCTATCTTGACACTGGTCCAGTGGAAGAATCCTCACCCCAGTGTGACTCAGTGCTTTCCTTCACCATGGCTTTCACTGAGCAGTTGGGAGCCCCAGCCAGATGAAGCTGTCACTCTGCTCAGTCTCCCATTCTTCACAATGGGGGTCCCTATATGCCCATCACCCCCACACCACCGCCCACAGACACCACCCTGTCACTTCTTACACAGGAAACAAGCCCACCAATGATCTGATCATGCTTTTAGCAGCCAGCTTGGACAGTTACCTTCAGCTTCCTCCGGGCATTGAACTTCTTCAGGCAGTCCACCGTCTCCTGCCTGTGCATGCATGACGCCACGGTGGCACGGTGCTAGGGGGAGAGAGACCTGGCTCAGAGCAGTGCTGGGGGGAAGGTGCTCCCCAGCCTGGCTCTCACATGCCCACACACGTGTATGACCATGGCTGAGGCACAGGCCAGAGCTGCCTGCAGCAGTAGCAGCAGATAAAAGTTTAATGGGCAGTGGGAGATCGAAGCTTTGGAGTCAGCAGAATCGGCTCTGGTGGTGAGGGTGTGTGGAGAACTGGCTGCCCCCTGACTTAACCCCTTGACTGACCAGCCATGTTTAGCAATGTGCTCAGGGTTTGCACATGTGTGGTTAAGCCCACGGACTCCTGCTGCTGTTAGGATCTGATTCAGAGTGAGAACCAGCAGCTGAAACAGCGAGATGTAGTGAAGGGTGGAGGGACTGCTGCTGGGGTGCATGGATGGAGAAACACGAGCGTGCTCCCACTGCCTCTGAAGAAAGACCCCCAGCACAGTGTGACACTGAGAAATCAGCCTATCCCCACCAGGGCAGGGAGCATATGTGCCCCTCCCATCACCAGGTCTCCCAGGAACATGCTGTTTGCATTCACAAGCTTTAATCTGCTTTAAAACCTCAGGGGAAATGCTGCTGTGAGAGGACTGGGAGGATCTATGCCAGGAAACCATCTTCCCAGGATGAAGAAGAGAGCTGGCAGCATGTTTGATAACAAGAGACCCCCAATATGATGTTCCCCACTTGTGAATCCCCACATCTCTCTACCTTCGGCCCCAACTCACCGATATCCAGGGGTGCTTCAGAGCCTCTGCTGCTGTGATGCGCTTGGATGGGTTTATGGTCAACATCTTGTTGATGAGATCTTTCGCTTCAGGAGTGACAGTGTCCCATTCAGGGGAGGGGAACTGCCAAAGCAAAGGGACAAGGGTGAGAGATGGCAGAGAGACCCTCTGCACCTGGGTTGCTTCTCCTGCAACTTGGGACAGGTTGGAGAAATGGTAGCCACTAGAAAGAGCTGCCAGGTAGAAAACCAAAGAGCAGGAGTGGAAGAAGAAAGTTGGGAGGCTCGGAAAAAGGCCTGTCTCTCCCATAAAGTGGCCCTGAAATATGCCAAGGTGTGCATCTGGGCATGGCAACGAGGCCAACGCTCTGCGACTGGTGCAAAGGAAAGTACTTGCTCCCATCTGTTCTGAATTTGTCTTGGTTGCTCTTCTAGAGCAGCAGGCTGCGAGGCAGGGACAGCAGGAGAGAGAGAGGAGACTGTGAAAGGGGGAAGCAAGACAAACCCACTCACGTCGTAAGCCCCAGCCTTGATCTGCTGGTAGAGTCGGTGTTGGTCTTCATCCCAAAAGGGTGGGTACCCAACCAGCAGGATGTAGAGGATGACACCTGCCCAGGAAAGGGGACAGGATCAATGGGAGAGAATTCATTGCTGGAGGCAGGAGCACATACAGCCTGGGGACTGGTCAAACTCAAGCAGAGAAACAGAAATTAGGGAAACATGAAGAGTTGCTCATTGTTTAAAGAGCAAAAGGCTTGTTGGTGGGTCCAGTTCAGCACCTGGGGAGGTTCAAGGCTCTGGCAGCCACCCTGCAGAGCCCAAAGTGGGTGCCCTGACAGGGATGGGTGATGCCTCCTCCCCATCGTGGATGGGAAAAGGCTCCCCTATGGCTGCAGCTGCACGGAGGCATTGCCTGACTCCACCAGCACCACAGGGAAAGGAGGCAGTGTTTCATCTGACTGGGAGCTTTGGGTACATAACGAGGGGGGTGATCCTTCCGAGAAGGGTGCCTCCGGATTGGGAGTGAGTGTGTTGCCGAGGGTAATGTGCCACCTTCTGGGTAAATCCTCCACCCTGGCTTCCCTGAGATCTGACAGGCAACTGCAACTTGAGACATGCTGGATGAACAGCCAGCCTCATCCCGCCCAGCCCACCCCGCTCCCGGCATCCCAGCCCCGGTATGACTTACCGCAAGCCCACAGATCCACGGCTTTGCCATAAGGGTCCTTCCGGAGCACCTCTGGCGAGAGGTATCCCGGGGTGCCGGCGAAACCTGGGACAGACAGCCCGTCACGCCCGCCGCCAGGCAGCCCCCATCCCGCACAGCTCCCCGGCAGGGACTGCTACCCGGCCGGGCACAGCGAGAGCCGAGAGTACTGGCACATCCCGACCCGGTGGGACAGACACCCTCCTTCCAGAAACCTCTGTGGCTCCCGAGGGCAGAGCAAACTGTGTTTTCTGCCAAACCCCAGATGGTGCCTAAGGCTGGAGTGCTCTGCTGTGCACTTCCAGAGCTTGGAAGAGCCTTTCCTCCCACTGCTCTGCCCCTGTTGCCGGCTTGTCCATTTCACCAGGACACCTCGGTGACTCACAGAGTCCCTGTGGAGCTGTTTGCTCCACATCAGCCTGCTGACCCATGGTGCTTCCTGGTCTGGTGCTGCTGGGGCTGTCCCATAATCCTGGGCTCAGGCTCCTGGAGACCCTCTGAACTAACATACCAAGGAGGACTGGAGGAGACGCCAGCTCAGGCCAGTCCTACTCACCAAACCACGCTTGCTGGTCCCCCTCCACCTCGATGGCGAGGCCAAAGTCAGCCAGCTTGACGGCAGCACCCTTCAGCTTGGACGCCAGCAGCAGGTTCTCGGGCTGCAGAACGAGATGGGGTTGGAGAGGAGTGAAAACTCCTCAAGGGCTCTGCTGTCGGCAGGGGGAGGTTTCCAGCACAGTATAGAGGAAGCTCTGGATGTGCTCCCTAACTGCTTTGTCCTGCTCTTTGTCCTGGTGTCCCTGGATCCTTAGGGGATCATAGACTGCAAAGACCTCCCTACCCCATCTCCCTCGTATCGTTCCTCTCTGGAGCTGGTCTTTGCTCCGTGGGTTTCCCGCAGCCCTACACGTGTTCCTCCCTGCTGTTTCAGCAGCCCTGAAGGACTCTGGGCATTGTTCCACAGAGCTTTCCATCACAGATGGAGTCCCCTGTCCTCCCACAGGCACTCTTCCTGCAGCTCCTACCTTCAGATCCCGGTGAACCACCCCCATCTGGTGGCAGTGCAGGACGGCCTCCAGGATCTGCTGGATGCAGTGGCTGTGGGAGAGAGAAGAAAGCCCACGCAAGTGGCCAGTGAGGCAGAGTTTTGTCAGACAGTTCTATTCTGCTGTATTTCACCCCTTTCCCCCTCTCCCCATCACTGCTTCCCATCAGCAGCCCTGCAGCACAGCTCAGCATCCCCCTCCACGAAAACCCACACACCTGTGGGGAGCAGTTCTAACCCAGTAAGAGCCCAACAGAGCTATTGGACACCAAGTAACGGTGAGCTGGAGCTATGGGGACATGCTGAGCCCACTGGGACCCCACAGAAACAGCACTGGAGACGGGAAGCTGGAGACCAACAGTGGAACCACAATACCAGCAAAGATTTGGTCCCCAGACTCAGGCAAAGCAGATATGCTCTGTGCAACCTTTGCTCCAGCCCCATTTCCCTGCTCTCCTCTAATGCAGGTGGCTCTGCTGCGTCTGCTTTCTTTATATCTAGTTCATTACATCCCAGCTCTGCTGTGTGCGTGAGACAGGAAGGGAAAAAGACAGAGGCACTGATCGCTTCTGCTCCAAAACAGCTTGTATGCAAGGCGGAAGGTCTTTATTTACATGCATTTTATTTTATTTGTATGACACTAATAAGTGGATGGGCTGTAAGTGGATTTAGTGCAGGCAGCCCATTAAATGAGATTGTTTTCTGTCTAGAAGTAAAGGATATTTCCATGCAGAGAAGTAGTGTAGAATTTACCATCCCTTTGGACATAGATATAGGCTATGCTTAGCCTGGGGGCAAAGCCAAGAAGCACAGTGATATCTGGAGACTGGAGAGGGCCAGATCATGTCCCTTCAAAAGAATGAGACTAATACTGTCCCCTGGATGAGCTGCAGGGACCCAAGGTCTGTTCAGCCAGAGCTGAAATGGCACTGCAGAAGGTACCTGGAAAGTGCCAGTGGGAGTGTGGGAGGGAGCAGAGCTCCAGCACAGCCTCTTGACTGCTCCTCCTCAGTGCTTTCAAGTGGCAAATGCTAGAGGAACACTTGCAGACAGCTGGAATGCAGCTCCAAGGGGAAGGAGTGACATCCACAGGGTGTCTGTGCTATCATAACCCTGGCTGGCCATCAGTCTGGTGCTGGGTTTCCTCCCTGCCAGCCTGGGGAGCCCTAGTGCCCCCAGACCAGGGAGTCCCCCCCACAATCTGTTAATTTACAGTGAGGTCAGTGTTGGCTATCCCAACATCCTGGGGAATGAAGATGCTGTGGGCAATGGCTGGGAGCCATCTGATTCAAAGTGGAAACCAGTCCTATGGCAGCACATGCACTTCTTGGCACAGGCATTGAGCGAGTTAGAAAGAGCATTTTGGGTGGGTTTTTCTTTTTGCACCACAGTTCTGGTCTATGAGTATGTGTTGCAGAGCAGCTGTAAAACACCTCCCAGTACAGAATGAGGTGGTGCTGCAGAAAGCCAGTCATGTAGGACCCAGGGAGGGAACAGCTCGTGAGAGAAGGAGACTCCTCCTGTCCCCTCCACAGCCTGACTCACCTGGCATCCGCTTCACTGTAGTACTCCCTGGCCACAATGTCCTCAAACAGCTCCCCACCGGTGACCCTGCGAGAGAACAGGAGGAGCTGGACTGACTGACAGCACACTCAGCTCTGGCAAGCCCCCCCAAAAATGTCACTGCACCATGCATGGGGGGAGAACCAGGAGTGCAGCACAGGGACCTGCCCTCTGCCCGGCTTGGGGGAGTTTGGTTCAAGCCCAGCCCTTGGGAAGGGCTGGGGTGAGGTGGAGGTCACGTCACGCCAGGAGAAGCACGGAGCTGCCCGTGGATTAGAGGATGCAATGAACCATTACTCACAGGTCAAATATCAGGTAGTGGTGGCCCTCTTCGGAGATGCTGTCGTGGAGCCTCACTGCAGCAGAGACAGAAGGGTTATGGGGTCATCTGGCTCCCACCCCACTCCCTGGGAATGCCTTTTCTCCCCTTTGGGCACAAGCAGGAGCTGGGGAAGGGCACAGCAGGACTATTCCTCTTGCTATTGCCACTGGCTGGGTGGGGGTCCCTGCTCTCCAGGTGACCCCAGCCTGTGCAAGGCACAAAGGCCACATCCAAATCGTGGGAATGCCCTGAGGCTACACCTGGCCAGGGTTCCAGGCAGCTGCTGGGCTATCTTGGGCACTGGGCAGGCTGCAGGCATGGGTGTCCCCAGGCCCATCAGGAGACGTGCCCAAGCAGAGGGAAAGCTCAGCAGGGAACTGAGCTAACAACTCTGGCACCCACGGGACTTTTTTATTTTCTGCTCATGACCTTGCTTTTCTCCTTTGGAATCTCCATGGGATGAATTTCCTCATCTCCTGGCACCCTCTCCCCTTGGGCACACCCCTTGCCAGGTACAAACTTGTCACCCTGCAGCTGTGTGCTGGTTATTCAGGCTCAGATCCCTGCTCACACTTAGCAGGCAGGTGTGCAGCAAGGGGACAGGCACAGAAACAAGTAGGGTGGATAAACAGAGACTTGTCCAACATCCTCTGTCCCCCACCTCATATTTTGTTTGATTCCCTTAAGGCTATGAATATTTAATGCTTCATCTCTCTCACCTGGTTGCAGCCTGATACAACCTTCAACATATTTGAGAATGTTGGGAAACAGAGAGGAAAAAAAGAAACATTCAGGTGAGAGATTTTGTGGGAGTTTTTACTCCTAGCCCCTTTTACTGCATCTAAATCAGCTGAGCCCTATATGGAAACATCCTCCAGACTCAGTGTGAGCCGGGGGAGATAACAATCCCAGCACTGAGCCCAGACACTGCACCGTGTTACTCTTATCTTCCAGGCCAGCAAACACCACTTTACTGGTCCTTTTCCTGCCTCCAAGCTCTGTGGGCAAATCCAGCAGCTGCCAAGAGCATACTGCCAGCAGTGTCACCTCACCTGGCCAGGGCACAGAGCAAACGAGGTCTGATGGGCTGGTCAGCATCTTTTCTGTCTGTCTCTCTTGTGGCCTTGACTACTGACGTAACTTGTTCATCTTATTCCCCAATTATCCTTCCCCACTGCTGGCCTCTGCAGACATCCCCTATGCTCCGACATCTGTGTCTGCTCCACTTTTCTCCAACATACGACCCCAGCTTTTCTGCCTTCCTCTGCTAGAAGAAACATACTTCCTCCTGTTTCATCTCACCTGGGAGGGATTTGGGGATATCATGCCTGGGATCCCACGGAAGCCAAAATATTCTCAGGGGGATTAGGTGAGTTTGGTGTAGATAGGGCCAGCATAACCATAAGCATATGGTCCAGATATGTTCCCTGCTTGGGGAAGTCCTGAAGCCCGTGCTGCCAGGAGCCAAGAAGGTATAAGAGAGAGCAGCTGCTCTAAATATAGCCTGATCCTATAAGGGTCTGTTACTGGCCATAGTCAGAGAGAGCCGTGCTGGCCAAACCACTCCAGCTCAGAGCTGAGAGCCAAGGCAGGAGCAGGACACAGCTTCAGAATGAGAGTCAGAGGACAAGTAGCTGGAGTTCAAACTCCAGGACTGAGTGCAGCCAAAGTTTTCCCAATAAAGCAAGACTTCCCCGACTGGAAACAGCTCTCCCTGGTATATCACCCAGTGCTGTGGATGTGCTGTGGGGTCCTGGGCCTGCCCTTGACTGCCCGTGCACAGCTTTCCATGTGAGGCTCTCCAGCAGGCACGGAGAACAGATAGGTTCCTTCAGGAACTGCAGCATGGCATTCTCATGGGAGATGGAAGGACCCCACCTCACTGCAGGGAGCAAGTAAGAGGACAGCAAAGCCCCTTGGCAGCTGGGGTGCTTCTCCCCGGGAAGGGCTGGACAGGGCTGTTTTGCCTCATCCAGCAGCAGCTCCTCCTCTTCCTCACGCCAGGCTGCTCTGCAGTGGCACTGCTCGCTCCAGCTCCTGTGTGGGTAACGAGCCGCCTTTGCTGCTCGGAAGGGAAGCTGCAAGCCCAAGTTTCCAGGCAGCAGGAGCAGTGGAGGGGGGTGAAAGGAAAGAGGGTGTGGGGTAGGGGGGTGGAGAAGAGCCTCCTGGGTATAAATAGCAGCAGATTGGGTTTGTTAGCATCTTATGCTGTTAACCCCTTCCAGCCTTTGCAGCTCTGAACCTGCCGGGTCACAGCCAAACAGCAAGGGGTAGTGCAGGGATGGGGGACAAGGACAGGAACAGGTGACGTGTTTCGGTCTTCGGAGACCTTGCCAGCCCCACGGGAAGGTGATGGAGAGGGAAGGGTGCAAGACAGCCATGGGAAAGAGCTGTGGCCAAGCTGGGAAATTGGGAACCACGGGAACTTGCAGGTGCCATCCTGCAGGTCTCATGCAGTGAGTTCCTCCGGCTTTAGTATTTCTTCTTATTCACACACTTTGCAGCCTGTTTCCTTCAGGTTTTGGCAATCTCTGCATGTATTTTGGTGCAAAGAGGAAGCTTGACGCCCCGGAGGGACCCCTGCAGGACATCTCCTGGTCCTGCTGGAGCAGAGGCTGGGGAATGCTGCAAGGTCCGGCACCCTGGCAATGAAGGGGAGACCTGCCACATAGCCGTGTGCCCGAGACAGATGGAAGCTGGCAGTCTTTTTTGGAACTGAAATATTTATGGGACAGGAGCCACATGGTTCGTCCCAGTGGCCCTGGATCTAGCTCCCTGGATCTGCTGCAGCAGCTCCTGGGGAAGGATGGATCCAGGTCACCGGAGCAGTGAGGGGGCCAGGGAGGAGCTCAGCCGCAGGGGAACCCTCCCAGCTCCCGACTGTGGGTTGAGAGGGCTGCAGAAACCACCAAATACTTTCCCAAAAGCTGCAGGATCTCATTGGGGTCGGTACATCCTGAGGTGCAGCAGAGGGAAGAGGGGGTTCATCCAGACCATCCACAGGGATCAAGAGCCTGCATCAGCATCACTTCCAGGATGGAGTTGTTTTTTTTTTTACTGCAGTTTTTTCCCCTCCCCTCTCTCTCTCTCTCTCCTTCTAGCCTATTTTTGTCTTTTGCAGGGGCTCAGGAGTTTTCCTGAAACAGCTTTTCCGAAGGAGGCTACTTTCAGATGGACGGTCGGTGGGAAAGTCTTCGCTTCCCCCCGCCATCTCTCCTCCTACACGCCCCGCACTGCTGCTGCTGCTGCTCCGAGCTGCAGCCGCTTTTTGGAGCATGCAGAGGAATACAGCACCCGAGGAGGGGAGAGCAGTAAAAATAGCCTCTTTCAGCCTCCTGGGGCTCCGCTTCCCCCTGAGGGAGCTATCGCCAAGTGGGTTAGTCCGGACCTACTTCAGTCCCCCTCTGCCCAGTGGGGGCCTTTTTCCCCATAACCCCGTTTAAAGATGGTGTTTCCCATGAGGAAGAGGAGGGACGGCTCTGCAGATCAACCGGGCAGAACAATACCAAGCCCTTCTCAGCCTCTGGGACAAACAGTCCATGCTGCTGCAGACAGGACTGGGTTATTGGTGGAGACCCCCTAGCCCTGGCTGGCACATGGGAGGGCAAGTGGGCAGCAGAGCCAGGTATGGAGCACCAGCAATGGGGGTGCACGGTGCACTTACCAATGTTGGGGTGCTTCAGGAGACGGCAGATCCGGGCTTCTCGTTCCAGCTTCTGGTGATCTGAAAGAGGCAACGACCCTAAATTAGGATCTGAGGAAGGGAATCAATGGCTCTCAGAGAAGGTGTTGGCACAGGAAACCTGGGGGACAGAGCAGCTTGTTTTTTCTTTGCTAATGAGTTATGGATTTGGGGATAAGTTCAGTATCAGGGCCCAATGGGCACTATCCCAGCACAGATGCAATCCCTGGCTAAGCCCTTCAAGCACTGATGCCATAGGCAATCTTGGGTTTGGAATGATCCTTTGCTGTCCTCTCTCCCTTCTCTTTGCTGAACAATCTCCAATCACCTCTCAAATACCCCGGATTTGTCTGGGTTATCCTTGCTTGCAGTACTGTTCCTTTTTCTCCTATTCATCCGGGCACAGGCAATCAGCCAGGACATTGCCAGCCCTGCATAGTACAATGTGAGCAATTGAAGGCAGAGTGAACCAGTGAAAGGTGTCAGGATGAAATGAGGCTATGGGCTTCACTCCCTCTAGCCATCATCAGCCATTCCACACCAGGGCTTTGCTCTCCTACACTGCAGAACCCTATCTCAGAACTGGTGCCTGTCTCCAAACAGGAAGCACAAGTCCCACTCCCCAGCTTTCAGCAGGCTTGGGGATGTGAGACAACAGAGCTCAGGGCAAGGTAAGTTGAGCTGAGCCAAAAAATCCCCTGCCCTGGGACAGCTCAGAATGAATCTGCAAATCCTTTTGTTTCTTCCTCTGTGCTTCTCTCCTTGCTCACACCTGACCCAGCCACCCTGCATGGAGGTGCCTGACTGAAGACATTTTGTGCAGGAACTCAGCAGCCAGGACAAGCAACGATATAATTAGGGCTGCTGTCTCTCAGTGCTATCACTGCTACCTTGCAGGTTCACACCCCGGAGTCTCGCTCTGCATCAAACCAAACCTGAGTGTCTCCGACCGCTGACACGTGAAAGTGGCACAGCCCCTTCTCTGCGGGGCTGCATCCTTCCCCAGGCTCAGGATCCTGTCCAAGAGGCACCCTGGGGCTTGGGGAGAGTTCTGCAGCCTGTACTGGAGTATGAGCTGAAGGCTGAGAAAATGAGGCTTGGTGGTCTCATTGAGCTCCCCACATTGTTTCCCCTGATGTGTGACAACCTTCCCAGGGTGGGACAGGGTGACAAGGAGAGAGGTTGGAGTTCAGGCTGTTCTCACAACTAAAGTCCATTGCGGGGTGGATAACAGGGATGGGACGGAGGGACAATGTGACCAGTGGGGCCAGGACTTGTCTGGGGAGGTGGGTTACAGCCTCTCTTGCCCCACAAACCCAGCTCCTGCACACACCTAAACTCCATTTTTCCTCCAAAATCTCCACCTTCTCTCCTCCTGGCCCCTCTGTGTTGGCAGCCAGGAGGATGTCTAAGGAAACAGACCATGACTGGGGATGTTCTGCAGCTTCTCTCACCTTCTCCCCACTTCTCTCCTTCCTGCCCTTTGTATCTGGGCAAGTGCCATCCTCCCTGCCAGCACTGCAGAAATGGGGGGTTCCAGACCATTAGCCAAAGTCGCTGGTGATTCCAGCTGGCAGAGCAGGGAAAAAAAAACAATGAACATTCTCTAGGGAACTGCTGGGCACTGCAGGGACAGCACAAACCCCAGGAGAGAATAGAGAGGGGCAAACTGCCGGAGGAGGCGAGCGGAGGCAGGAGGAGCAAAGGGAGGAAGGCTCAATCTGCTGCTCCAGGCAGCCCTGAAAACTGGAAGGCGTTTGCCAGCTGGGGTACACGGGCAGGAGCCAAGGGCTGAGCCCAGCACTGCACACCCTGCCCAGAGCCCAGCCTTTGACTTAGAACGAAGAAAATTATCTGCATCCCTGAAGAGGGGCAGGGGTCAGTGCTGGAGGACCTGAGGGGCTCAGAGCCGGTGCTGTGCCACTTTGGCATACTGAGACATACTGGTTTAATTCCAGGTCAGAGAGGAGCTTGTCACTCTTTTCTGCATATCAGTTTTACCTTCGGAGGTCAGCAGAGGAACTGGGAGAGACACCGAGGGAGGTTAATTAAACCCTGCCGGCAGGGTGCTTCCTCCTAGCACACATCCTGCACTCCCAAAAGCCAGAGAGGAGCCAGAGTGGGGACACGGCATCTGCTGCCTCATACTTTCAATCCACCTCATCACAGCTCCTCTGCCAGATGCCTGGAGGCAGAGGAGTCCCTGGCTTGGGGCAAGGGCTCGTTGATGATTTCTGGGCTGGCTCATCTCAGTCGCACTCTGAGAAGCAGCTGGGACAGACCCACCAGGACAGACCCACCAGCACCTCTTCCAGCAGCAAACAGCCAATGTGCTCCACCAGAGCAGATGGCAGCAAGGGAGAGGTCCCTTTTCCAGGTAGAAATGAAGTCAAATCCCCACCCGAAGGGATGTTCCCATTTCATTGATGTAGGTATATGAGTAAGAAAACTTACAGACCCCAGAGCAGGGATGGGGTTTCAGCGGGGGCCCACTCAGGAGGTTACGCTCCCAAATTAACTGTGCTACCCTGTGCCAAAGCTGGCAGTGGTCTGATTGTTGCAAAGTTGTAACCACCGTGTTGCTGCAATGTGTGTGCAGGGTGGTGAGGGGAACTCAGGGACAGAAATGGGGTCCTCTGGCTCTTGAGGCAGACTGGGGTGTGGGATTTCCCCTCAGCCTTGGCACAGCCAGGCTGTGGATGCTGTGATCGGATAGGATGTGGCGAGCAGCCACCAAGACGGCTCCTTGGGACATTCACCCCATCCATCAAGGAGCTCAGTGTCCACAGTGGGGACAGAGTGGGATGAGGGGGCCCCATTGCAATCAAAGACCCCCTCACCTCATTGCACATCAAAGGCATCATCCCAGCACCATGCCGAGGGGACAAATTCCCCAGTGTGTGAGTCCTGCTCACCTCTTGCCTTCTCCAAAACACCCTCAGGGCTTACCTCGAGCAGAGAGCTTCTTGGTATTGATAATCTTGGCCGCATACTCTTGTCCTGCCAACACCTTCACGCATCTCCGGACAATGGAGAAAGCGCCCCTGGGAACAGATGGAGCCAGAGATGAAGGGTTTGGCGTGGGAACGGGCACAGCTCAGCCCTCATGTGGCTGTGGGGTGAGGGACAGCCACAGGCATGGGGACAAGGATGGGGATGGGGATAGGTGCTGACTGGGGCAGGGACTTGGGCAAAATATGGAAGGATCTCAGCCGGCTTCCCTGCACCCGTGTCCTTGAGGAATGATAGGAGGAGGCACATGAAGACCTAGAGACAGATGTGGGTTTCTTCCCTCCATGCTCCTCTGGGACACCCCAGGCACCGTGCACTTTCCCCCCTCTTCCTCCTGGCTTTGCCCTACCTGTTGCCAGGAGGGAAGGGGCAGTGATTTACCGGGGGCGCTGGTTCCCAAAGGGAAACCGTGATGGCTGCAGCTGCCACATAACTCTCGACCACTTCAATCTGTGTGGCTCTGCCTGTTCTAGACCTTTCAGTCACAGCAGGACTCAGCAGCTGTGACCAGTACCAGATCACCCCCACCGCAAAACCACCACCCAAGCAGGGACAGCCCAGGGGACCCTGCGAGGGTGGAGCCCAGCGGGACAGGGATGGATGCTGTTGCACCTTGCACACGCAGGAGCCAACTTGCAAAGCTCTCCTGGGATCTGGCAGGCGAACGAGCACGAGTGCTTGGGACACTCCCAAGACTTCTGTCTGCCCTGGACCCCAGCTCATGGCACTGCCAGTGCCCGCGCAGTGCTGGGAGCTGCAGCCCTGCAATCACACGCACATGCACGCTCCAGCCCTGCTGAGTACAACCTTTGTGCCAGGTTCCCTTTCCTGTCAAACGTCTCTAATCGCTAAAATAACAACTATCAAAAGCAATCCCACCTCCTGCCCCACCTTCCCCCACTCCCCTTCACCCCACTCCAACTCCCTGCCGAGGAATAAAAGGCCGCGGGCTGGCGAGAGCGGCGGATAATTGATTTTAGCGGCGGGGGCGGGTGGAGACGGGCAATTTGGGTTTGAATGTGATTTTTAGGAGAGCAGGCGAGCAGCGGGTGTGGAGGGATGGGGATGGAGCCCCAGCAGAGCCGGCAGCCCACGCGCCCAGTGCTGCCGTGCAGAGCATCGCTCACGGCACGTGCCAGGCAGGAATTGGGGGAAAACATCCTGGTGCTTCCCAGCTTCCCCGTCCTGCCATTTAATCCTGACTGCTGAAAGAGCTGAGCTGTTAATATCCCTGAATCCTGGGGAAGAATTAACTGGAAAGGGTGGGCGAAATGCTTCATATCCAGCTTGCCATAGGTAGGCAGACCAGAGCTATTGGCAGTCCTGTGGTCTCTCTCTCTTCATCCTGCTGGGAACCCTACGCTGTGTAGAATTTGTGGGCTCCTGTGGATCCCTGGGACTCATCTGCTCTATTCTTTTCCGTAAAGATGTATGATGTTTCTGCAGTGGCAGGACAGTCTGCAGCAGAGAGTGCAGCAAACAGGGATGTCCCTCTGCCCCAGCTCGGGGTTTCACTACAGAACCCAGCATGAGGCTGGAGGGGTGTATGTGTCCCAGATCCACGAGCAGCTGGGGACTGATAGTCACTCCTGGTCCCGGTGTCCACAGCCACTTCCTCATCTATTTATTTGAATTGAACGTGAAAAAGGGGGAGCCATGGGAAGCAGCTGTTTCACTCCCCCAGCTGCATTCCTGGCTTTTGGCTCCTCCAAACCTTCCTAACAGAAACCAAATGTCTATTTGTCATCTGTAGAGCATAAGCAAAACCCTGTATGCCTGGACGGTGGGTGGAACATGGAACACTGGATGCAGGTGCAAGATACCCAGGGGTACAGCATGCTTGCTACAGCCCCATCCTTGTTCCAGTTGGATCTTTCAGTGGGTCTGCACTGGCCAGGAAGCTTCCACATTGGGTGTTTGACCCCCAGCCAGGCTCTACTGCCTGTGCCAAGCTGCTCCCTTGCTACTCAATCCCATGTAGGATTTTCCCAGCCTAGGGGAAAAAAAATCCCTCCTTTGCTTCATCTAAATACAGCATCTTCATGGCAAAGGCAGCATCCCCTTCCACATCAGGGGCTCATGGAGCACTGCAGGCAGTGCTGGGGGTGCCAGGCAGGAAGCTGAGCCCCCCTGAGCTGCAAGAAACCCCTCTGGAAGGAAGGAACTGTTCCCTGTTCCCTGGCCATGGGCAGCAGTGTGTACCTTTGCTCCCAGGGTATGGATAGGGATCACCCCAACCCTGGTGGCAGCTGAGGATCCCCATCTCTGCCTGGCTTGGACGAGACAGCATGTCCCAGTCTGAGCAGGGGATGGGTACATCACCTGTAGGGCCATGGGTACAGAGTGTGTCCTTGTCACCTGGCTGGCTGCCAGTGCAGGGTGATGTTGGACCCACAGCCCAGCACAAGCCCCGAATCTACAGCCCCGAGCCCTGGCACTGCTGAGCCCCAGCCCTGCACCGTCTGTCCCTTTGTCCCTAGGCCAGGCATGAAGCCATGCCTTGTCCCCACGGCCTTCCCCCCAGCTCAAGCAGTGGCTCTGCCACCAGGATGCTCCCCTTCTCCCTTTTTCACACCTTCCCTGCCAGCGCCCGGCTGTGCTGATGCCGCCCTCCCTCTCTTCAACACCTCCTCCTCCTCCGAGGCATTTTATCTCCTTTCTAGAGAGAAGAGTGTGGGCTGGGGATTTTTTGTTCCTCCATTTTTTTTTCCCCCTTTTTAATAAGCCCCCTCTCCTGCAGCTCCGGGAGCGGAGGGGCTGATCCTACGGCTCGGCACGGTAATTGTCTCCAGCCTCTCCCTGAACCTGCTGCGGGGGCGGATTTGGAGGCGCCGATGGAGCTGCACTTCATGTTTGTCCTACTCCGGGGGGCCGTGGGCAGGATCCTCTCCCTGTCCCCCCCGCTGCCCCCCGCGCTCCGCCTGATTCCCTCCTGCAGGCGTGGGGGATCGGAGCAGCCCTTCGCTTGCTCAGCTTTGCGGGGGCTGCCGCAGGAGTGGGTTTTCCCCAGCTCCGTGTCCCCCGCTCGGGACAGATGTCCTCCCATGCTTGGGAGGTGCAGGGATGTTCCAGGGGCTTGTGCCTCGCTGGGCAGACTCTGCGGATCTCCCTCCCCATCTCTGCCTGCCCCCCAAGCTTCACCGCGGTGCTACCATTAGGTGTGTGGCATCCCAAACCGCCACCTGCCCGGCTGTCAGGATGGGTGGCAGCCGAGGAAACGGCAGAGAAACAGGGTGGGTGTAGCAGCCTGGCACCTAGACCTGCCGTCCTGCCAGCCAGGCTGGGAACATGCCGTGTCCCCCACAACAGCCCGCCCCAGTCCTTCGGGCACAGTAAACTCGAGATGGACCCTCTCTGCCCTGAATTCTTGCAGGACGCTGCTTCCTACCAGGGGCTGGTGCGGAGAGAGCCGTTCTGCCCAGCCCTGCCAGGACAGACCCACCCCGTCTGGCACCGGGAGCATCTCTCCTGAGGAAGAACGACACTTCCCAGCGCGAGCAGCTGCCGCAGCAGAGCAGAGGTGCGGCACTTCGTCCTGATTTCCCTCTCTAAGCCCATGAAGCAGAAATTTCCCCATGGGAAACCGCTGATTTTTGAATGTGCCAGGATGTGCTGGAAACCATCCCAGTGGAAAATCCCCAACCAGCTCCACAGCACCTTGGCTAACCTGGTGAAGCCCCTAACTCGGGAGCACCTCAATGCTGCTGTTGTACCTGCCCTCTTGAGTGGATGGAAAAGCTGTGGGATACACCGAGCTGGGGCCGCTGCCCCTGCATCACACCAGACCTGGGGTGGTCGGGGGCGATGCTCTCAGGGGCTGGTGAGCTGCTGCGCTAGCTTTACTTCTTTATTCCTGTTAAAAATGCATCTGTCCAGGTGGTTTTACACCACAGTGCTGGGCAAGGTGGGCAGCCCCTGAGCCTGAGTGCTCAGTCCTCCAGTCAGCACCGACCCAGCAAAGCGTCGCAGCCCAGATACCTTCAGGAGCTCTCCTGGTCCTCCTCCATCACTCCTCGCCTGCGAACTTCCCTCCACATCCCCACAGCCACCTCTGCCCAGCCAGAGCCCCACAGCCTCACCACAGGCACGGAGCAGCCACTGCCCCATCTGCCCACCCCTTGACACCAACACAAAGCCCCAGAAACCTGAAAAGCCAAGAAAAGTCTGGAAAAAGCAGGTCCCACATCCCACCTTGCCACCAGTTCCATGGCGGGTGCCCATCCCCCTGCCTGCAGTGCCAGCTGGAGCTGTCCCCACCACAGGGACCCACTCCCCAACCCAATCCCCTGCTGTCCACCAGCCCCTCTCTGTCACTCGCATGCCACAGGGATGTATGTGAGTGTCCCGAGATGGGAGGGGATCCATTTGCCTCCACGGAGCTGCACTTTGTAGCAACACCCGGTGCCACAGTTTGGCTGGGGAATGTGAGCAGGATTCAGCCCAGCCAGCACAAAGTCCTCCTGTCTCAGCCTCTCCATTTCCCCATCTCTGCCCTCTCCCTGCTCCCTCGCCCCCATTTCAGACGCCCACGTGCATGTGGGCACACGCTTAGGCACAGGCTGCTCTGCGCCCGGGCAATGCAGGGCTGCGGGGTTGGAGCATCCCTGTGCCTGGGAGGGACAGAGCTTCCCCTCTGGAGCCACAGGCACCCTTAGCCCACCACCACACTGCCAGCTGCTCCAAAGGGACAGCAGCCACATGGCCTAGATTTACACACCGGCTCCAAAAAAAAGGCACAGAAACCAAAACAGAGGCACATGCCTGCTCACTCCTGTGCTCGTTTTACAGCCACACGCTGGGCGGGACGCAGAGCATCCCTCAACACGGGGAACCTGGCATCCCCTGCTGCACCCTGGGGTGCTCAGTGCTCCCCAGGATCCCCTTGCTGTGCACTGTTTGCAGCTCTGTTTACACACACACACACACACACACACACACACACACACACGCAGTGGCGTGCACGGGCACACACAGACACACGCGGTGACACCTGGAGCAGAGGAGCTGAGCCCTCCCTCGCAGGAAAGCAGGGTCAGACAGGGCTATGGCTCACCCGCACTGGGACAGGGGTGGGGAATATCCTGGATCTTTCCAAAAGCCACTAGGATTCTCTGGGGGCTGCCAGGCAGACTGGGTCTCCGGCAGGTCTAGTCAAGCCCCAGTGAATCCACACAGATAAATTCCCTAAAGAAATGTGGGGGGCACCCACTGCTTTGGCTTTCCTTCTCAGCTCTCCAGTCCCTCCTCCCCGCTGGAGAACTTCCCAAGGGAGCTAGCAGCTTTCTTTTTTGGGAGCAGCTTTTCCATAAGAAGGGCAGCCGAGCCCTTCCCAGGCAACTCCAGACCTCTGGGGTGTCCCAAGCCCCCAGCCAAACACCCATCAGCAACCCCTGAACTCAGGCAGGGACAGAGAAGCAGGTCTGGGGCTGGAAGCCCCCATCCTCACTTGCGTGCCCTCTCCGATTCCCACTGCATTTTCTCCATGCCCATCTCCTTTCCCTCATCTCCAGCAGTTCCCAGCACTACTGAGTCTCTCTCCCAGCCAGGGCACAGCCCCGCTCTGAACATCCCAGCCCCATCTCCAACTTACTTGCCCAGTTCCTCAAAAAGCTGGTACTCCTCAGTGAAGCGATTGCAGGTGATGGTGGCCATCCCGAGGGGCTGGAAATGCTCCCTCCCAGTGCGGAGTTTGGGGCAAGCAGCTCTCCTCTCGCTCCCTCCCTCTCCGTGTGCTCCCGGGGCTCTCTCCTCGCTGAGGTAAATAAGGGAATATATTTGATTGACAAGCCCAGAGATAATGATGAGGGCAATTTGTCTTCTCAGCTTCACAAGCCTTCGTCAGCATCCCCGTCCCCATGGTGACCACCGCTGCCAGAAACGCCCTGTTTCTGTTGCCGGGGCAACTGCTTCCCAAACCCGCCGCCCTCTGTGGGGACCAGGGCCCTGCTGGGGACCCGGCCCGGGGGCTGCCCGGGGGTCACCCACCTGCTGCGGAGGGGGGGGATATCTAAAATACAAATATTAAAGACAAATTAAAGGCTGTGGCAGTGGTAAAATAATTGGGGCAAAAAAGGTTTCCATGGAAACTGTGGTTTCCATGTTGCAGGAGGATGCTGTCACCCCAGCAACTGCTTATAACCCCCCCCCCAAAAAAAAAAAAAAAATTACAGGTCCTGCTGGTACCTGCAGCAGCATTCCTGGGGCCCCTGGAAAAAAAAAAAAAAAAAAATTACAGGTCCTGCTGGTACCTGCAGCAGCATTCCTGGGGCCCCTGGAGGCTGTGGGATGGGGACACACTGCAGCAGGAGGGAGCAGATGGAGCAGAAGTGTGTCAGGAGAAGCTGGAGAAACCATGGCAGGTCCCCAGGTCCCCACACTGTCCTGCCTTCAGCCAGGGTCCCCAGAGGGGCTGGCCCCAATCACACTGCAGGGGAGGGCTGGCTGCTCCCCACTCCCCCCTTTGCCCACTGCGTCCCCCCAAGGGCCCTGGGGTTCCCTTGGAGCAGCTCCTGAGGGTCCCCCCCCCACCGAGAGAGGGCGAGCAGCCTGACCTGAAGCAGCTAGAGGGGTGCAAAAAGGTTGTGTCCTGGGGAGCTGTGTCCCTGTGGTGCCCAAGCCAGGGTAGAAAGGGGAGAATTTCAAAGTGGGAATAGGAGGAAGGTCTGGCCCCCCAGTCCTTGGATTTTGTTGCTGAGTCGCCTGTCTGCTGTGTTGAACATAAGAAAGCACAAGAAGTGCAATAAAAGTGGAGTTGTGAGGTCCAAAACCTCAGGTAAGGGGTTTCCCTCTGAGTCCCCATCAGCCCTCACTGGGGATCCAGCACCACCCCCTCTGTCTACACCACCCCTTGCACTTTCCACCTGCTGACTTCCCCCAGAAGAGCTTTCTACTAAGCTTTTGTCCCATTTCTAGATGATTTTGCAGCAGCAGGACCCTCATCACAACAGAAGGGACTCCCTGTGCCAGCTGGGAGGGCATTGCCTTTGGCAGCTGAGATGGATTGAGTTCCATTTCAGGCTACCATGGAAGGGTTAAAAGGAAAAGTAAAAGGTTCTAACCAGACAAAAATAGGGAGAAATCTTTGAGAGGGGAGAGAGGAGGAGCAGAGAGGGAGAGAAGAAAGGAGGTGGAAGTGGAGGAGGACAGCAAGTGGCGGAGTGAGGAAGAGGAGGGGGAGGAGGAGAAAGGTCTAATGGCTTTTCCATTAATTGCACCATTACTTACCTTCATCCCCACCTTGCATCCCTGCATCCGGCCTCCCGCTCCTGTCTGGTCCCATCCAGGGGACCCTGGTGGCAGAGCAGGGACTGATTCCCAGCCATGGATGGGCACAGGGATGGGGCCACAGTCCCCAAGGGCTGATGACCTCCAGACCCACCCTGGCCACGCCCTGGCATGGGCAGAGCATTCCTGGCACCCTCACCTGGGGTGCAGACAATGCATATGTGCCATCTGTGCCCTGGGCGGTCCCCAAAATGCCTCCAGGCATCTGCACAACTCCTCCCCATGTTGCTCCCACAAAAAAGGGGGTTTCATTCCTCACCCCAGGGCTGTGCCAGGGGGCTGCCGTGGGGGCTGATGCATCCGGATGTTTGTGGGAGTGCTCTCCTCCTCCAGTGTTTTGCTGCCAGCCCCCAGCAGCCCCTTGGAGCCCTAGAGGCAAGAGCCCCCCACTCCCAAGACCCCGTGGATGCCCGTGGGCGGCTCTGTGCCCCTGCCTCACTCCCACGTCCCTCCCACCTGCGCTGATGTTCGTGTCCCCGTGAGCTCCGCAATGTGACCTGCCCCCCTCCCCGTGCCCACCCCCACACTGCCACACGTGCTCAACCCCACACGCGTGACTCTGCATGCTCCCAGAGCCAGGAGGAGGGATCTGTCCCCCTCCTTCCCCCCAGGGCCCCTGCTGCATCCCTGACACCCCAAACCCCTCACCCGGGCAGGGGGCAATGGCAAAGCCCCCACGAGGACCCTGCCTCCCTCCCCAGGGTTCTCCTGTCTGGCAGACACACGGCTCTCCAGGAAAAGTTTCTCCCTCTCTGCTCTTCTCTCTATTCAGTTTGTTTTTTTTTTCCTTTTCCTCGACATTTTTCCTTCTGAGGGTAAGGGGGTGTCAGACTTCTGCGTGCTGAACGTGCTCTGCTTTGCTGATAATGTTTTCCCAAGCGGGAACTCCTGCATGGTCCCAATCCTGGGGACAGTCTGAGGGGAGCAGGAGCTCTGGGTGGAACCTTCCACCTCTGGGCTGGGGGCTTCCCTGTAGAGGGGAGTAGTCCCAGTCCTCTCCCAGAGACCTCAGGATATTCTTAAGATGTGTCTGTTCCCAGCCATCCCAAGATTTGCTCCTGCATGGCTTTGGGAGCCATGCTGCTCTCCTGTTGCCGTGCTCGGGTCTGGCCACCTGATGGAGACCTTCATCCCCAGTGCTCCTCTCCATCACTGGGCGGCCTGTCCAAAAATGCATCCTGCTCTCCACACCCTGCTCCAGCTCTGCCTGCAGAGCTTTAGTTTCTGCATACCAGCACGGGGCTGCCCCAGGGTGGGCACCCGAGGTCAGATTCTGAACCCCAAATACACTGGACGGGCAGCTCAGGAAGGATCCACGTGTCCTGGGGGGGCTGCAGCAGGTGCCCCTGCTCGCAGGGGATGGGGCTTGCAGCAGTGCCTCGCACACCAAACCAGCTGGGCTGCCAATTACATGTTGCAGAGATACCAAAATTACTGGGACAGTTTCACATGCAAGCTGGGGTCTGGGGGATGCTCAGTTGCTGTCCTCTGGGAAGCTGAATTTGGGGTTATTTTTAAATAAGATTATAAATACCGTGGTGAGGAGAGCTGATTTACATTTAGGGCTGTGTTTGTAAACGTGCCCTGCCCCTACCCCTATGGGCCCAGCACTTGCTCCTACAACCACACGAAGTTGCTTTTGGCTGAGACAGGGTGTCCTCAGTGCTGCCCTCTCCCCGACAGCAGGCAAAGACCCTCCTGTGGACATGTCCATGATACTTGGGGACACTCAGTTGGTGCCATGCGGCTCCCTGGAAACGTCGTGCGCTGGATCTGAGCGAGGGGGAGCCTGCAAAACCACAGATCACTGGCACTGGAGAAAGGACACAAGTGCCCCTGATGTAGAACACCTTCTGAAGTGCTCAGGGTGCTCTGCCACTCTCCCACTGGGGCAGTTTGTTGGGATGCCCATCCCCTGTCCTGATACTGGGCTTCTTCCATCTCTCGGGTGGGAGTCGCCTGTGGGGCTGGAGAGGCTCTGACTGTACCCCCAGTCCTGTCTGCATTCCGTCCCTATTCCATCCCCCTCCTATCGCCCTCCCCTTCCCAGCCCAGCCCAGCCCAGCCCAGCCCAGCCCAGCTCCACCCTCCTCTTATCCTCCTCCCCATCTCTATCCCATCCCAACTCCATTCATTCCCAGCCCATCCCCTTCCCACTCGCTCCAGCCAGCAGGATGGAAACAGCCAGGGTGGAGACAGCCAGTCCACGCCGACAGAGAGGCATGGACAGAGAGGCCACCACCCTTCCAGCCCCGATGGCCCCGAATGCATCCCCCGCCCCACCCCTCCCAGGCCCCCATCCTACACCCAGCTCCTGCTGGGCTTTGGAGCTGCCTGGGGTTTGCCAGGCACTTTGAAAGGAGGTTGGGAAGGAGGGGAGCCTCAGCCTGTCTGTGAAAACACATCTCCCGGGTGCAGGGAACTCCACCGCCTGAGCATCTCTCCAGCTGCATTAACCCCTTGGCAGCCAGAGCGCACACACAGACCCAGGGGACTTCAGCTCTCTGAAAACATGGGATTTTGGCACATAGCTGCGTTCTTCCCAACACAGACCATTAATGAACATTGCTGTGATGAGGAGAACACGTGGCAGCAGTTGCATCTCCTTTCCCAGCCCAATGTTCAGGCACAGCACAGCTGGAATCAGTAGTGAGGGACAACTGCTGTCCTCGGGCTGGAGGCTTTGCTCTCTCCAAACACCCAGAGATGCTCCTGCCTACTTCTCCTCTTTGTTTTCAGGGCCTAAGATTTTCCTTCGGCTGTTTCTTCTCACAAAGATTCAGAATACAACTCTTTTTAATTAAAATACAGATGACAGCAGATCCACCACTGTGGCCAGGCTGACTGCAAACCCAGCATCAGCCCAGCAGATCCAAACCTGGAAAGAGGAAGTGAGACCAGACGAACATTTTCATGGGGATGTTTGTAAAAGAGAAGGGAGAAAAATCAAACATGTTTTCATGGAAATTTCCATTTTTGAAGAAAAAAAATAAAAGAAGGACTAAACTTGGATGCATTTATATAAATATGGAAATGAAAACCATTTCCCGAGCCTTGTCACCACCCCAAGTCCAGCCCTGCTCTCCCATTCCCTTCAGCACCAACTCTCCCTTAGCCAATAACTGTTCCCAAGCCCCTGCAGCATCACCCCCTGCTCTCCCCTGGCTTTGGCTCTGCCTGCAGCAGCTTCCTCTTCTTCAGCAAAGTGTTGCTTTATTTTCAGCAACTGGTTGGCTTTGCCAAATAGCAGCCGGTACTGCAGCCCTGCTGGTGGTGCACATCCCCAGGGACCAGGCTGGCTGATTTGAGGTAGTTTGAGGATGTGGAGCATCCTGTTGGGGCTCACCTCCACCCAGGTGATGCCATGGGGACCAGTCCTCTTGGAGCAGCATGCTAAGGGAGCAGGGATGGAGATGTGGCTGATGGAGGAGCCGAGTCCCCTTGGAAACCTGTCCTTGGGATGTGCCTGCAGGGATGCAGGGATCCAGCAGGGTAGGATGGCACACTGATGGGCGTGCACAGAGCAGCGGGGACTGGCGCACACACAGCCACACTCCAGCTTTTCAAACTCCTTCCCAGCTCTACAAGAAGAGGCCTCCTCTCTTCTGCCTTGCTGTCAGCTGGTTTTTTTCCTCTGTTTCTATAGAAAATCCCAATACCCCCAAATAATCCAGCTAAGAGTAAGAAAAAAAATACAAACATGTCATTTTCTTCCCATCCTCATCCCTCTCTCACACACAGGGCTTGAAAGAGCACTGAAAGGTATTCAGTGTGCACGCTGCCAATTGTCACATCTTTCAATGACAGATTTTAAATGAATGTTATTTTGCAAGGGAGAGAGAGGGGGAAAAGAAAAAAAAAAATAGAAAGCCCACACTGCTCATCCAAGAGCTGACAAGTCCTAACGGGCCTCATTTTCCAGAGACAAAAATAACTATTTTCAAAATTCACAGCAGGGCCTTCGCCTACACACGCTGCACCAAGAGAAACCTGTGGGGAGAAATGTAAAACACATTGTGTAAATGGAAATGCACCATGCATCCAAAACGATTTTAAAGCTATTTACCCCCTTTCATCCTCTCCAGCTCTCCTGTGAGCGCACTATGCGCGCTTGCACCCCGCCGAAGGCGCGGGGGCCCGGAGCTTTTCTGCTTCCCTGGCCCCTGGCGATCGGATGGGCTGGGTCCCCACAGCAGCGGATGATGGGGAGGTGTGTTCTCCCCACAGCAGCAGATGATGGGGAGGTTTTCTCCTCCCCATGTGTGTGCTGCTGGAAGAGCAGTGCCCATCTGCAGCCTGGGGATGCCGCGTGGTGCTGGCAGGTGAGAGGTGTCCCCATCATCCCCGTCCTTCAGGCTTCAGAGTTCTGCAGCTACGAAACAGCAGAGCAGCTTCTGCAGAGACCATCTTCAGATCTTCTGTTTACCCCAGGTTCAGCAATGGGATGTAGGGACAGGGACATCTCCAGCACTTGGCATACAGGGGTGGTTGGCTGGTTGGATGGGTAGGATTCATAGGGAGGAACAGGGGTGCCTAGAGGCTTGCACATGAGGGGCAAATTGTGGGTGAAAGAGTCTGCTGGGTGGCTGTCCCACATGGAGTCCACCATCAGAGCCTGGGGCAAATCTGCCTCCCAAATGTGGGGCCAAAGAGAACCACCTGTCCTCTAAGAGCATCCAGTCATACCTCTATGGGACACAGCTCCTCATCAGGGCTGCTCCCAGCCCCCCAGGCCAGTGGAGTGGTGAAGCCATAGCCCCACATGAGGTCACTGGAGCAGCATGACTTAGTCCAGCCATGCTGATCTCAGGTCTGACATCCATGGTCAGGAATCCATCCCTCCACAAAGAAGCAATGTGGTCTTGGGTTTGGGGGAGGCCCTCAAGTTCCCAGAGCAAGATCAAAGGTTGCAGCTGCTTGGCTGCAGGCTGAGAGCCAGCAGTAAATAGAGGGAAATGGCAAGGGTTAACATGAAAGCAGAGCCCCCCATGCTTCCTCCTGCTCTTGCAATGGCCAACACTTAAAGCTTATGATTGCTTGCAGAATCCTTGAGGAAAGAGTCTCTCTCTTTGGAAGCAACTGTGCAGGGCCAGCCCAGCTCAGCACAGTCATTCACCACCACCAAGCACCACAGCAGAGACCACATCACCCTTCCTCACCCACTGGGAGCAACTCCCTGTGGCCACCACTCTAGCCAGGGAGGAGAAGTGTTTTGGAGTGAACCATGGAGCAAGGGAAAGCAAGAGAGCACTGACCACCTCCCTGCCTGTCCTTCTCCCTCACTCCCACCCCATGGCACTGCAGTCCAGAGCTCCACCCTGGCCAGGAGGGGTGGATGCTGGGGGAGTGTCCTGTCAGATGCGGTTGGACATGAGCCTGGTGTTAAGCTTGCGGAAGAAGGAGCGCAGCTTGCAGATCTTGCACTTCTTCTTCTTGTTCCTGCTTTTTAGGGGCTCCCGGCCGCCTTCCCATTCTTCCCCATCATCCTCACTGGCCCAAGGTCCCCAGGCACCACCGTTGAAGTCTGGGTGAGCCCGGGGATTCTCTGCAGGGTACCGCACCGGGATGGCCGTCCGGTTGTAGTGCACCAACCTCATCAGGAGGGTCCTGACCACGTCTGGGCGCTGCTCTGAGAGGTCGTAGCGCTCGTAGGGGTCTGCAGTGATGTTGAAGAGCCACACAGACTTCCTCAGGCCGTCAGTGAGACGCTCCAGGTTCCACCAGCTCCCTGGGAAGTTGGTCAGGGTCTGTGGGGGTATCCAGTCGCTGTACCCTGGGTCGCCAGTGAGGAGCTTCCACTCCCCAACTCGGATGGAAGCTTGCACAGCTGTGTTCCAGATGCCGAAGCCATCCTCCAAGGAGCCATACTTGGCATGGTTGTACAAGGGGTCGATGTTGTGCAGGATTTCAGTGCGTGGCGACTCCTTGCCCTCACTGATAGCAGGCCAGACATCATAGCCATCCAAGCCTTGGACATTGCTCAGGTTGCCCCTGGCCAGGCTGACCAGAGTTGGGTACCAGTCTGTGATGTGAACCAGTGCCCAGCTTGTCCGACGCTTGCGCTTGATCAGGGGACTGTGGACAAAACCAATGCCACGCACTCCCCCTTCCCAGTATGTCCCTTTGCGACCCCGTAGTGGCCAGTTGCTTCCACCAGAGAAGGTCTGCCCACCATTGTCTGTGGAGAACACAATCACACTGTTGTCATAGTAACCATACTTCTTGAGGGCCCAGGTGATGTTCTTCACCGCCTCGTCCATGCAGGTCACCATGGCCGCGTACTTGCGGCGGGCGACGTTGCCCATGGAGCGGTAGCGGTAGATGTACTCCTTGGGGGACTGCAGGGGCGTGTGGACTGCTTGGAAGGCCACGTAGATGAAGATGGGCTCCTTTGGGCTGTGGGATGCCAGGATCTTGCTGACCCGTTGGGCATAGAGAAACGTGGAATATTTCCCGCTCTGGTCCCAAGCAACGTCCTCCCCTTCATGCAGGTCGTAGCCGCAGACGCCCGGCCCGTCGCAGTTGTCGTAGGTGTAGTAATCCACGTTGCCTGTCAGGGAGCCCAGGAAGGTGTCGAAGCCCCGACGAGTGGGCAGGCACTCCTTCTTGTAGAAGCCAAGGTGCCACTTGCCCACCATGTGTGTGGAGTAGCCGGCTTCCTGCAGCTTCTGTGGCAGGGTGACCTGGTCGAGGGGTAGGCAGTTGGGCTGCCGAGGGCGGATGATGGAGTGCTGCAGTCCTGTGTGGATCTGGTACCTGCCAGAAGAAGAGCCAGAGGAAAGCAATGGTGATGAGGAACCTCACTGGGTGAGGACGTAATGGCACTTTATGTGTTAGAGACCCAAAACAAATGCAGATCTCCATGTCACCCAACTCAATCCAATGAAGTAAGCTCCAGCCAGGGACAGGGAGCTCCTCATCCATCTGTAGGTACCAAAAGCAGATGCAAAGAACACAGAGAGAGGCTCAGCAGACATTTCACTAAAATGCAACCAGCATTTGTCCCCACTGCTGCCAGCCTGGGAGAGGTGGCTGGGCTGTGTCAGGACAAGGCAGCACAAGCAAGTGGGTTCATAATGCCTCACCTGAATGTCCCCATCATCCCTGTCCTCCCCTGCTTTGCACACCACTTTGTCTGATGCCAAGAACCATCAGGAGAGAAGAGAGGCCTTTGCTTGGACCCTGATGGGCTCCACCACCCCAGGCAGTAGGTGATCACATCCATAGGCACCTTCCTGGGGCCCATTCCTCAGCAGCAGGTGGTCTGGTGGGATCTGCCTCCTACAATGAGTGCTGACCACATAGCACTGCTCCAGAGAAAGCCCCACCTATCCTAGAAGGCAGAATGGCCCAGGATAAGGGGCCATCTGACTGTGCTGCCATGGGAGAGGGCAATGGAGCAATATCAGCCTATCCTGGCCAGTGCAGCACTGAACACGCATGCAGGAAAAGCACAGATCAAGGGCCTCACAGCAAATCTCCAAGGGCCAGTGTGTCAGGGACTACCTGGAGACACAGCTCCTTGCCTAATACCAACACCTCCTGACTAAAGACCACCCTCTCTCAAAGTGACACCCATTACCCAGCAGCATCCACATTTTTGCTCTTGCCATGTGCCACTATTTATCCTGTGTGGAAATCAACTGTTTACCCAGGAAGCTTTCTAGAGAAATCCAGATCTGCTGGAGGATCTCGATCCTCTGCCAATACACCAGGACATTGGTGTAGCAGTAAGCTGGGGTTAAACCCCTCAGACCTACAGAAGGGACCAAAGGAGGACATGAGTAGGTTGTGAGCAGGCTCTGGCTTACCTGCCAGTTATCAGCTGGCTCCGGGACGGGGTGCAGATGGGCTGGATGTAGTAATTCTCCAGCTTCACACCCTCCGCTGCCAGCCTGTCCAGCGTCGGCGTCTGGATATCTGAGCCGTGATAGCCGATGTCGTGGTAGCCCTGGTCATCAGTCAGAATGAAGATGATGTGGGGTGGCCTGGTGAAGGTGGGAGGCAGTGATTTCTCCATGGGGTCCGTGGCCACGTCGGCCACCAAACTAGGCTTCATCCAGTCCCAAGATAAATAGCCAAAGCTGAGCAGGCTGACGAGCGAGAAACCCGTGAGGGCATAGACGGCCATCCCGAAGCACTGTGCTGCCTGCCAAGGGAGTTACTGTCCCGGCATCGTCTCAGAGCCACGAAAACAGGAGGTCTGCCCCTCCTCCAGGAGGGCTCCCTGACCTAGGGGATGCTCCCCACAGTCCCCGCAGCTGGTTTTGCGGGAGCAGCTTCCATCAAGGCACACTCGCGTGCGCACAAAGAGCTTAATCCGGCGGGGCTGGGTTGCCTTCAGTCAAAGGAAAATAACCCTCTCGCTGCTCCAATCACACACATCTGCACCGCAGGACGGGCTCCTCGCAGGGGCTGGCGGCGGCCCGGAGCCGCTCACCAGCGTCCCGAGCGTTGGAAACACTTCCTGCCTTCCTGGTGTTATTTCTTTGTGAAGAGCTCCACAAAATCCCCGTCAGAGAAAGTTTCTGACTTCTCGTCTGCCCCAGCGCTGCGCCTGCCCGGCTGTGGGGACGGCTCGCTCGGGATACGACGATCCTCGTCTTCAAACTCCTGCGGAAGAGGGTGCTAAAGTTCAAGCCCAGGGGTGCCGAGCTCTCCTCCTCACTCTCCGGGCAAGAGCCGCCCTCTCCTTTTCCCAGCCTCCGCTCCAAGGCAGAGCCCCAACATCTGTCCAGGAGTTGGTCTAAGCCGCCAGGTTTATGGGGAGCTGCCTGCTCGGCCCCTCCCAGCTCAGCAGCTCCAGCAAAAAAAAGCTGGAAAACCCCAAAGCACGCAGGGTCCAAAGCGTGGCATTCCCTGAGCCACCGATGCTTCCCTCCCTGCTTGCACCGAGGCTTGTGACACATGGATCAGGACCCTTGGTGGGATGCTCAGCTGAAGCCCCCGCAGCATCCAGCCCTGGAGGGCGGCAGGAAGGGCTGGATCTCTGGGCGGGGTTGCTGGGACCAGCTGCCCGCACTAATCACCATCCAAATAAATCCTGAACAAGGAGAAGCTGCAAAAAAATTTTCAACACCCCCGGTGTTATTAAAACCACTCGGGGACTTGCAGAGCACTACGGAGTGGTGGGGACTGCTGCACCCATTTCCCAAGTGGGGAAACTGAGGCAGCAAAGCCTCACAGCCAGACAGGGGTAAGGTTTGGTGGGAACCAGACACTTGTGCCAATGCAGGAGTACTGATCTGAGCTTGGGGTGCTGGGACAAGGGGCCAGAGCCCTGATGCTTCAGGGCGGTTTTGACAGAGATGAGCAATGGCCCTGTGCAATTCCCTCTGCAGGGCCAGCATTCATCAGACATCAGGAAGCCCTCGTGCCTGGTATGCATCTTGTCCCTCCCACTTGGCCCAGGAAGGGGGATTTTGGTAGCACAAACCCACTCACATTCACCCACCCCTCTCACAGCTGGGAGCTGAGTCCTGTGGCTGTTTGCAGTTCCAAAACGATGGGGACCCGAGGAGTCCCAGTACACCCCAATAGCCCCAGCCCAGCCACTCCACCTGCCTTTACAACTGCAGGTCTGAGAGGGCTTTGCCTTCAGAACTAGCTCAGAAGAGTAGATGAGACAGATGGCTCCAGGATCCTTACATGTCCCTTTCCCAGATCCCCTCTTCTGGGTCCCCTCCCTGGGCTCCTCCTACACTCCCTGTCCTTCCACTGTCCCTCCAGTCCCCAAGTGTCCTCCCTGCCCCACGCCAGCCTGCTCCCTAGAACCCTGGACATCATGGAGGAGTGGGGAAGATGGATCACGAAGTTACTCACTCCCAGGGACTCCAGGAACAAAGGGAGGATGGGCTTCTCCCTCCTAGCTTTAGACACAGGCAGAGGATGGGGTCAAGGACAGGGACCAGGACAGAGCCAGTTCAGCCAGGGCTCAGGGGCTTGCAGGAGCACAGGAAGGAGTGCAGGGGACAGGAGTAGGAGGCAGGGATGGATAACTGTGTTCTGTGATTTTCCCTGCTGGCAGGAATCCCTGCTCACTCAACAGCTCAGAAGGGCTGGGCTAAGCCCTTCAGTGAGGTTTGATTTTTCCCCAGGGGTTCATCTCTCATTTCTTCCGCCCGCTTCTCTTCTCCCTTTCTCTCACTCCTTCCCACCACTTGCTTCCCTTTTATTCCCCAACACCTTTAATTTTGAACGATATCCTCCTCTTGGAAACACCTGGACCTGACTGAAGGGAAATAGAGGTGGGAGATCCCCATCTCCTGGGTCCTGTGTTCTCCTGTACACATGGCTCTGTGCACACCCCAAACCAGAGAGAGCTATCGCCAGGGTTTGTAATCAGAGCTCTTTCCAAATAATAAATAATGGTCCACTTGGGTGAGTATTACAGATGAGAGAGGAAATTGAAGATGTCAGGCCTGAGACATGGCACAGAAACTGTGTTCAAGGCAACATAGATCACTGATAAACTATGTCTTGCTTGGGGCCAGAGGATGAGCAGGAGGGAGGTGCAGGAGGGGGCAGCAGAAGGGATGTGTGGCCACAGGAGTGAGTCTGGAGCCCACCTACGAGGAGCAGAGCTGGATCCCACCTCTGAGGAGCAAGAGCAGAGCCAAGAACCTCCTGGATGTGTGGATTTGCTGCTCCACAGCCAAGTGGTGGGTCACATCCAGCTCACACCCTTAGGATGAGGAGGCACAGGCTGGGAGAGTCATCCTGAATTAAGGCTGCTGTCAGTGGCCAAAGCTCAGAGGGTTGAAAGGAGGGTAGAAGGTGTCAGCAGGGACATGGACACATGCTGACACAGCGAGGAGACCTTCTGTGCCAGCCAGAGCAGCTGGCTCAGTTAAATCAGTAATGGGTCCAAGATGGCCCTGGGTCTGGGGAGGAAACAGCAGGGTTAACTCAGCTGAGGGAGCTTTTCCAAGAGCCAAAGGGTGAATAAATAGTGAATTTGTTGGCAGTGTCCCCGCTTAGAGGGTTCAGGGACAGCTAGCTGGGTCACAGGAGCACACAGACACCTTCTGGGTGCTCCTCCAAGGAATGATAAAAGGGTGAAAAGCACCAAGGGGTAGAGTGAAAACACCCTAGATCCTCGGAAACAGGGTGCAATGGGACCCTCCAACCAGCCCCACTGATATCACGACAGGAGGCAGGAGAAGGGAGTGGCTAGCAGGGAGGAGGAGGAAGAAATGACAAGTCTGGAGTTTTGGGGTCAGGACGATTTAAGCTGTCTGCACAGCTGCTCTGAGAGTGATTAATGCGTCACAAGGTCTGGGGATGGAAAAAGTACTCAGGGCCTGCAGGCAACCCCTCAACTGCTCTTAATTCCAGGCAGTGACTTGTCCAGCCTCACTCAAAGATGTCTCAAGAGCCAGGAGCTTCCTTGGAGAGCTCCAGCATGTTGCACAATGGGGAGATTTCCCCTGGCAGCCGGCCTGGCCATGAATGCTGAGCCAGGCAGCAGACCCTGCCTACTTTGGTCCTACATCTGCCCTGGCAAGGACAACCCTGCTCTTCCCTGTCACATCAGCTGCTATGACAAAAGACACTGACTCTCCCTCCCAGCCTGGTCTGCAGTGGCATTACCAGTTCAGGGTGATAGGGAGGCCCATCAGGTGAGCTGGGTGCTGGATGTGGGGCTGGCAGTGACTCTGTGGGCAGAGCATCACCCACCAGCACCCCAGCCCAGCCCTTCCAGGTGCCTGCAGATCCTTCCCAGCTGGAAGCAAGCTCCCCATGCTGAGGAGCCAGGGTAAATTCACCAGCCAAAGCCCAAAATGCTTCTTCTCAGTGCTTTTACGCCCAGGAACATGACCTGCAAGGCATCAAACCCTCACCAATACCTGGATCAAGTCCCTCCGTGTCCCTGCAGCTGGCACAGCTCCTCACATTTGCACAGCTGGTTCTCTGACCAAATATTTAATTATTACTTTTTTTTTTATTATTAATTTTATGTGGCCTGGGGCAAGAATGAAAATAAACACAGCCCTTCCTGCTTTTTTCTCCCCACCGCCCCCCGGCTCAAGCCGCACTTGCATTTTGGCTCTGAAAGTGCTCGCTGCAAATGGGGTTATGCAAACAGGCTCCACATATTTCTCTGCGCCTGAGATCTGCCACGAGGGCCACACAGCAAAGTTTAAACCTAAGCCTCAAATATTTCTTTTTTTTTTACTTTTTTCCCCCCACTTTTCTTTATTTTTTAACCCTTCCCGGGGCTGTAGCTGTTTCAGCCCTCAATACTGCCTTTCTCTTGCCATCAATGGGGCATTATGGCAGGGGATTTATTGGAAGCAGAACTCCCAGGCTTTACAATGGGAGCTCTGTGCAAGGCAAATATTGCACAATCTGTTTGCACGCTGTCAGCTCGCTGCCCTTCCCCTTCGACAGCCCCACTCACGCCTCGGCCTCCGGCCTGCTGAAACAGGACCTTAAAAATTAGAAAAATGAAAGGTTTTTAATAAGTCCCCTCTCTCCTGCTTCAGAGCAAGACATTTGACCTAACAGGGCATCAGGGAGCCTCAAAAAAACACCTCTTGTCGCTCTCGCCTCTTAGATGTTTAAGGGTTTCCACTCTCCCTGGCCAACATGTGATGCATTTACTCTTTTATTGGCATGATGAAAGAGCCTAGGCAAGTCTGGAGAAGAAGGGAGCAGTCCCAGGAATGGGGAAAGGTTGTTTTGTCTAGAAAGGGGGGAAAAGGCTGACAGAAGGGGTTGGCCAGGTAATTTGTGGTGAAATGCTAGAGGCATCACCAGTTCCAAACCCAGGAGAGGGTGGGGCTGGAGGTGAGTGCCTCTCCACTGACTTTGGGAGCCTCCAGGTGGTCCTGGACATCATGTCCTCAACCTGGTGAATGGTTCTGTCGTGGACTTCTCTATGTCATGAGCACTCTTTGCTCCCTTCCATCTTATCCTCCAGAGACATCCCCAAGGACCACCTTCCCTCCTTGGTGCATTTCAGGCAAGCAGCATTTCTGGCAGACAGTGCCAGGACCTGCCTCCTCCCCATCAGCCCCCCATATTTTTTTCCCCACTCTAGGATCTCATTTTTCCCACACAGAGCCCAGCACCTCTCTTCTAGCCACAAGGACCCTGTGGACAGAAACCAATTTTCTAGTGACAACCGCTGTGGCAAGACCTCGACCAGATTACAGGGATAGGGTTTGGTTTGGGGGAACTCGGAAGTTTTTGAACATGCCATAATTCACTCTCTGGAGCTGGAGCCAGAGGAGGAGAAAACTGCAAATCTGCATCAGTTCCTGGTTATGCAACCCTGATCATTGCTGAAAGGACGAGGAGTGGTGCAGCAGCAGCAGTGGCACAGGATGCCAAAGCCACCAGTTACGGAGCAGAGAGGAGAGCATCAGCTGTCCCTCTGACAGGGGCTCTGGATTTTTTCTTGAAGCCAAATGGTCTTTTTTTTCCAATTCCCTGCCTGTATTTCACACCATTTGAGCAGCTGAAAATAATCATCACCATTAAAATGCACTTGGAAGCCAATGCACAGTATTAGAG